TACAAGATTGTACTACATTTCAACTAGAAGTACTGAGTAGAATCAGTAAGCTGGAACAAACAAGCAAATCTGCCTGCCCTAGTAAAATCTTCAAAGATACAAAGGACTTTTCTCAGATTTCCCATCAGTTCTCCAGCATAATTTATTCCACACAACAATTTTGCTCGCATTTTCAATGTGAAAAGTAATAAATGTATTGTCTCCGGTGTTTTCAAGTCATGCTGTGCTCATCTAACTGGCAGTTCAGAAACTGATGCGGCCTTGTTTTATCCACCACATGTTTGTCAGACAACCTTGCGAAGGAATATACACACCATCAGATAAGTGAAATCAGTAGTACGTATCTCGGTGTTGTATGCATACAAAACTAGTGGAGATGATAAATCAAGTTATGTGGATGGTGGTAGGAGTGTAAACAACTGTACGTTCATTCCTTATCACCTTCATCTGAAACAACTTGAATAACAATTGATTGGATGTTCAATTCTACACTCCACTTCGATATCTTAACAGAAGTACGCATATGTGTTTCATTCTTCCTTAGATTATGTAGCTGTAGTGTAATTGCCTGTTATCAGGACAAACATCATCCCACTTATCTACTTTGACAACGAGTTATTTCATCTTCGATACTATTGTGGACACTTACATTCCACTTTGGTAAATGTGCTTTCGTCTTTCTCAATTTCAAGTACTTTGAACTTGTTGACAATTTTTACCCACCTCTACAATGATCGTGTTATCATCTTGTTTACTCAATCATTCAACTGTGATAGATAAGTCAGCTGTTGAAAAACGAAGTTCAAAATTGTAATTAAATTTATTAGGATCCATTTGGAACCAGATTTGAAAACATCAGTTTACACCTCAATTACTATCATCGATATTCGTTCGTACTGAGGTTTAATTAGGCAGATAGGAATGAGCAAACAAATTGAAATGAGGCAATGTGTGAACGTTTAGCTTTATGCAAAACTAATTTGTGAGAGCGTTGACAAAGTATTTCTGTGATCAGTCGACTTCTGAGACGGAGTAAATGAAATAAATGAGAAGGAGTTTTGATCTTTCAATCTGATGCTAAACAGGATCAATGCATTTCTACTCATAACATGAATGAATGCATTCGTTCAACACCCTCCACTAAATTGCAACTATATGCAGTTCTTCCTTTACTGACCATGGTGTCTAGTGTAATCGGATAGTGAACTCCTCTAGAAATGACCAAATTGGAAGAACCTTGTCTTCGGATACTATGAATTACAGCCTCCATTCAGAAAACTCTCTCATTCATTCCAATTGAAGATATTTGAATAGATTACTTAACATATCCATAGCCATTTCAGACAAGTTAACCTTATGCTAAATGACATACAACTTATTTTCAAGCTATAAGATGAACAAAGATGAACAAAACATGTACTATGCTGTAAAATAGAATGAGGACAAGAGATGGTAATGATTTCAGCACTAGCGATTTCACACAGCCATCACATTCCAACAGAACTCCAGACTGCAGATCGTGTCACACAACATTGGTAGTGGTAAGATTGGACAAATGTCTAAATAATCGAGGTAGTCGTCTACTCAGAAATGCAGAAAACAGTCAGGAGGTGAAACATCTAACAGAAGCTTTCATTCTAAACATCTCTCGTCTGAAAAATTCACTCTGAAATACATAGGAATATGTAAGAGGAGTGAAAGTACTGGTGTGAGCAATGACTGCATCTCGACTAAGAACTGTATCATTTTGTAGAATTGACATAGGGAAGGCGCGTTCGAAACCTAATGTATGATTTTCAACGAGGATTGCAATACGGTGGCATTCGAAACCACAAACTCAATGACAAACAAACATTGTCAGCTAAACAAATATACTGACAAGATGAGAAGGAACAATTCGATTTACCGAAGGACTGGTAATGACTGTGGAGACAATTGTGAAACTCGGGTCAACCTCAAAGCGTCCATTCACTCAGTTCACATTTCAATCAGAAATCAATCAATTGTGCCCACTTTCATAATCTGAATCAAGCAAAGCCATCAATGAACATTAAGTTGTACATAAGGAAGTATGAAACTGCCATACTCTGGCCAACAAATCAAGTTGAATGTTCAAGTATACAACTGTCATCATATGTTCTACAAATTGAATCACATTAGATTAGCAATACACCATGATGAGGTATTCTCAGGTGATCAATCATCTGCTGTTATGGGAACCATATTTCCAGGAATTGAAATATCAATCCACTATATGAGAAGCTGACTAAAATCCAATTGAACATTGTCACTAAAATGTAGTCATTAGTATCGAAGATCAGTCTTCTTCCTCCTGCAAGCATCTGACTCTCGATTAGACTAATCTGTAAATAAGTTGAAAGAGAATCGACTGAGTTCAGTCAGTGTATGTGATATATATGAGAAGTGAATGAAATGATGATTAGAGAGACGGTCATGCAGTATAAATTTATCTGGAGTATAACAAGGTGTGCCGCACAGTGAAACTGTGTTATTCGTCTGAATTATGTTTCAGACAATATTCTTTGTCCACATCAACGACAAGAAATCTCCCGATCTATGAGACATACTTGTTGATCAGATTCTATCACTGTTTTTGTAATCTAGGTAGTAAGATTTTCCATGTTTCTCACACAGTTACACTAGTTCAGTATTTCCTGTTGTATATATTTGGTAATGATTCGTTAATGAAGGAACCGATTGTGCCAGATTTCGTGTTTGTTCTTAGTGGAAGACAGGGCGTATGTGCAACCCCGAAAGAACTGATGCTGCACGAGGGATCCAAAACAATGGCACCCAAATCTACAATCAGAGACGTTGACACTGATCCATTCGTGCCAAAATTGACCACCTATAGCAATGGATTGCATATAAAGACTTATCACTGTGACAAACGTGACCAACTACATGTTGTCTAGTCTCACCTGAATGATGACTGAAGTTAACAGACAATTTGACAATATGCCCACCAGCTTAGCCATCTCCTCTTTTACACATCTGGACCAGGTATGAGAATTCTCAGTTCGCTGCATCCTATTATATGGTTGTGTTGAGACTCAGGCATAACCAAAACCGAACTATCCACGAGATCATTAATTTGAAGAGGAAACAATAATATTGATTGGGCGTGGCTGTGGGAGGTGGATAGAGAGATGATAACTAATCCTTGTGTGGTGAATCTATGCCAATTTACACAACAGAATTGACATGTCAGTTGTTTGAGACATGTAGAGAGTCTCACTACGTATCATGGAAAGAAGGGTAGTGAATAAGATTTAATTAGACAGCTGATATAACAACTCAGCATTCATAAAGCGCCTCCAATCAGGGATAGTTTATCAACTTGATTGAACGCATTGAGGGTTGAAGAAAGCGTATTTCACTTCATAAGCAACTACTGGCATTCAATTTGTGTTAAACTGCTCCATCGATTCACTGATCGAAGCGTTGACTCCAGCTAGTGAAAATGGCATTTAGAAATGAGATATCCACCTCATGTGTCTAAATGATTGGCATTTGTTTCGATGCCTACTGAACATGATGATTGACTTGTACATTTATTCCTCTCCACCAACACACTGTTCAGTATGGACTGACATCAGCTGGAGGAACATGGGTAACATGGGAGCACTGGACATCTGTTTCATCCCAGAATGGTACTCCTCAGTGGTGACACGATTCGAGAGGTGATTATTGAATTTCGAGTGAGAAGCCGTGACTCGTGGGTCAAACATGGTGAACCTACGAATCAATACTCATCGATGACATCGAGTGATGATCACGCTATGTAGGAAGTATGGACGATTGGATTCGGACCAGTTAGCTGAGTGTTGGCATGCTGACTAGAGGAGTTGAATATTGTGAGTTGGATCCCCGGATGGCGAAATCATGGATGCGCACTGCTCAGGAGTCAAATATGAACACGAAACACCTCTCCAACACTACCACGATTCCAATGTTCCTCCAAGTGATTTCACTCCATGATGAAGACCATCTTGAAAGAAATGTTGAATAATAAACACACGTCAATTTCTAACCTCTAACAAATATACACTTACCGGAATAGCAACCAAAAGAATGCAAACGCCAAGCACATGCTGACCAGTCTGAAAGTAACGATAAAAGTGTTCATACTTATCACAATCTTTACTTCTTGAATTAGTATCTCACTAATTTATCACATGTTAGACTGTGAAAGGAGTTATTATTACTATTACTATTATTATTATTATTATTATTATCTTTACTATTCTATCTGATTATAAATTATAATGATTCTTGTATAAACTATTATCACTATTGACTTAATAATGAATTGGTTATAGTTGAGTACTATACATCAATTGAGAATACACATTCTCTTCTAATTTTCCTTTCCGGTTTAAAAAAAGAGTCAAAATCTGTACTAATTATTTTTATATAAACAAGAAATGAATACCAAGGAGTTCATGAAACTCAAAATTTTAAGACAAAGTTTAATTGGAGAATACTTTACACAGGTTTGTACACTACTGTCTACTTAATGACTTCAAGTGAATAGATTGATAGGTAAGTAGTCAGCAGATTGTTTGAAACAAGTAAATGTCGACAATATGCTTCACACAATTTGTTTGTGTAAAAACAAACAGTCAGAAATATATAATTTGTTTACCGGGTGTTACAAAGAGAGACAGAGAGAGAGAGATAGACAGAGAGAGAGAAGTATGAATATTTCACAGTTTGTTGTTGAGTTTTGAGATAGTTTATCTGTCTAGAATTTATTGACTACACTTTGTACAACAGTGATAAATTATGATCACAATTGATTCAGTATCATAATGAAACATATTAGATATAACCTATGATATAATTATATGTAAATACTGATTGGTTAAGTGTATTGGCCAATTGTCAGTGTATTTCAGTTGATCAAATATAAATACTATTCGACTAACTTTTTCCATTCCTGACAAGTTTTCATTCTTATATATTATCAGTTTCAGATGACAGGTAAACTGTAAACATTTACTTTTACATTTTAAAACTAATTACAAACGAGTAAATGATAATATAATACCATAACTGTTATTCCTTTTGTTTTCAAAAGGAAAATGAAATATCTATCTTTTCACTAGTTGAACATTTGAAGAGACTTTGGATACATAAGTCTCGGAGAGAAAAGTTTGAGTTATTGGATTTTATGATGTTATGGCAAGTCAATACTGGCCACTAACAATAACATGATCCCTCAAGTATCACATTTACATAATTCATACCATTACTGAGTAATAGTACTGATATATTATTATTATTACTTGTCCCTTGGGTTCCTAGCGGAACATACACCTTCAGTAGTAAGTCTCCATTCCACTTTGCAGTTCTCTGCAATCTTTTCAATCTGGCTCCACAACTGCCTACAAGCTCTCATTTCTTTCTCGCATGATCTCCTACACGTCACCCTCACCTCGGACGCAAAACTCGTCGTTTCCTATCTAGGTTCCACTCAACACCCTAGGCTATCGCGTGATGTCACGAGTGATCATCTCAGTGCATGCCCAATACATCTCTACTTCCTTCCAGTGCATGTTTGTTCAGAGATGGGTTCTTCCTACGTTGGTTTGTTGCCAGTCACCCAGAGTTTCTCGTTGTTTATTTACACTATTCTGGCCATCTGATCTTCAATAACCAGCCAGTGTAGGCAGTTGTTGATGAATATCTGTAGTTTGTTGGAAATGCATTTCGTAACGCAACAAGTCTCTGAGCCATACAGAAGAACTGAATTGACCAGGTTGGTGTTGAAAAATCTGGAGATTTTTCCTGCTTTATGCTGAGTGCAGGAGATCTCCACACTTGTTTCAGCATAATGAACTCCTGTCTTGCTGTCATTCCGATTCTGGCTGACTTTGACATCCTCATTTGTGTCACCTGTAGTTGAAACGATGCTGCCTGTACAGGTAGATAAGTGGAGGAGGATACTTCCTTCAAGTTTCTCCCGTTCATTCTGAGTGGAGCTTGTTGTTGTTGTCGGTGATGGTGGTGGTGGTGTTGGTTGTGTATCGTCATCACCTCTGTCTTCTCTACATTCATTTGAAGTAATGTCTTCGCTTTACTGCCTCTTCTGACAACTTGTTAGCTTTCGCCTGTAGATCATCAAGTTTGTGCCACATCAAACACAAGTCATAGTCGAAATCCGAATATTTTTACTGATATAGGGAGGTGAAATGTGAGTTACATAGCAACTAGAGGCATAAATTTAAACACATTAGCACTGAAACACAAATTCCTGAGTGTGTTTAAAGGGTATATACCCTTGAACATTGAAACTTGTGAATTTCTCTTAAACTGTAAACAGAAGAAGGGGAAAGAGTGACTAGAAGTCAAGTAGCAGCTGACGTTTTGATATGTGAGAAGTTCTCATAGTATGAGGAGGTTGGTGAGAATGCTTGACAGATTAGCTTTCTATTTGAGATGGATTATGACGGCGATAAATCAGTTTAAAATTACTATATGTAAGTGGAATTGACTACTAAAATGTGTTGTAGTTATTTAAACAATGTACTATTTCTTATGCATACCTTTTAAAACGTTTATTAAGTATAAATGCCTTTCATTCTGAGGTAGTACCAGTTAACTATATAACTATTTAAAGGTGAAAAACACCTACATTTGAATACCTCAGTAGCAAGCATCTCTAGTCACATACTAGACTGAGTTTCTTTATGTTTTGGTAACACAAAGGGCATGTTACTAAACTATCGATGTATGAAGTGATAACATTTGACCTACATTTACCTTGGATAATCCACGAATGTCAGAAATGATAGTCAGTCACAGTAAAGCTTATTAATACCGAATAAAATGATACTTTGTAAATAATGTACTTAATTCAATATCTCTCTTATGTTTTATGTTGAAAGTCTCAAGAAAAGTCAGTTTTGCAATACTTAATCATCACAATGAATCTAAAGTTGTCTTGGATACAATTAGTATGATGGATAGAAGACGTGTTCACTTTATTGTAAAGGTAATTGTGATCAGTAATGAATCAACTTTATACTTAGGTATTTATTGTTAATATCCTTCAGATATTTTTCTCAATATTCTTAACTGTGTTAATGGAAATATTGTAAGTTACTCAATACTCTTACATTTGTTTATCATATTTGTCTTCCAGAAATCCTTTAAATAATTTTCAGCAAAACCATATTTGGTTTGTTCCTGTTTTAATGTAAGTGAAATATACTTTGAAATTTGACTAGAAAAGTATTGATAAAAATATTTGTTCATTTCAGTAGTTTGTTCAGCATGAAAAAAAATATATGAAATATTCATTTATGTGTGATCCTTTTATCCAACATATTCTCAACAAAATCATCATGTAATTACGTTTTAAAGGCGTTCGTTGCTCGCAAAAACGGAAATGCATTACATCTCAAGATCAAAATTAGACCTGATAGACTTGAATAATTTTAGGGTATTGCGTAAATCGATTACAAATGAAATATCTATTGTAAAATCAGAATGAACTAGAAAAATAACTTCCTGATGTTTCGCAATTTTATGGAAATCGTTTCTTCAGTGTATTCAAGACAACCACAAAGCTCATCACGAATGAAGATGGTAGGCTAACGGAAGTAAAGCAAATTTACCAGAAAATGCCTTTCTCGTGCATCATAAACTACAAAGTCATCGACACAAATCAACAATCACATCGTCCTACCATACATAAAAAATATATCACAAATCACAACGAGATTGCTGACACCACTTGAAAATTGGTGTGGCCACTCATATACCAACACATTCCATCCGATCCCTATTTTGCAGACCAGAGGATACAACAAGCAAACAAGAGAAACCGAATATCATTTACAAAATCAACTGCAATAACTGTAGTCAGCACCACATTGGACAAAGTGACCACCCTCCTCACCTTCATCTACATGAACACCAATCGGTTATTAAACACCACGACATTTCGTCACTCATTACTCAATGCATGTGGATAACAACTATGAACATGAATTCAATTTCAACAATGTAGAAATTCTGGATGGAGAGAGGAAACACAAAGAATATTATCAGAGAATTCCTCGAGGCTTTGCATTCAGGTCAGTCAGCCACCAGTCAACAGGTGTAGAGATATAGATAAGATCTATCAACCAATAAAAAAGATGATAAACGAGAGAAAGGTCAGAGTTGATGTACAGGAACAGCCAACAGGAAAGTCTATGCAGTCAGTCAATGACACAACAATGGAAGGAAACAACCAATCATAGACCACATCGTCAGAGCAAGCCACTAAATCACTGATGGAGAGATATTGACAGCTCACTACTTCATACTGAAGTTAGTGCTGATGATGTCGTCTAGAGAGACACTACGGAAGCTTCACGATTGAACAACAAGCCAGCTGAGAGAATACAATACAACCAAGACAATCCATCTGAGCTACAAATCATCTCCAAGTACTAAAATCATTTCATTTGTAAACTGTAAATAAAAGACTTTTTATATCCTCTGAAAAATGAAAAAACCATAAATCTACAATACAACATAAGAGAATAGATTTCGTTTGAGACCAACACTTTAAGGTCCAACAATTTTCATATGGAGTAGTGTTAAACATGTTGTTCAAGATCACTACTTGAAGACATGACTGATGTGTCAAGTTTTGTTGACGTGTGAAAAAAAAAATTATTTTTGTCATTTCCGATGCTAATTGAATTCATTAGAAAATCTACATTCTGCATTACAGTTTCATTTCAATTGGTGTAACTCTTGTGACGTTTATCACACCCAAAGTGCAACATATCAAATTACTCAATGATTTTCTTCTATTCCTTTTCGTAAGTTGTAATTGTTGATATTGAATACATAACTATGTGAACACATTATATTGAAATGATGGAGAATATTTGTAGCTCAGATGGATGGTCTTGGTTGTATTGTGTTCTCTCAGCTGGCTTGTTGTTCAATCGTGAAGCTTCCTTAGTGTCTCTCTAGACGACATCATCAGCACTAACTTCAGTATGAAGTAGTGAGCTGTCAATATCTCTCCATCAGTGATTTAGTGGCTTGCTCTGACGATGTGGTCTATGATTGGTTGTTTCCTTCCATTGTTGTGTCATTGACTGACTGCATAGACTTTCCTGTTGGCTGTTCCTGTACATCAACTCTGACCTTTCTCTCGTTTATCATCTTTTTTATTGGTTGATAGATCTTATCTATATCTCTACACCTGTTGACTGGTGGCTGACTGACCTGAATGCAAAGCCTCGAGGAATTCTCTGATAATATTCTTTGTGTTTCCTCTCTCCATCCAGAATTTCTACATTGTTGAAATTGAATTCATGTTCATAGTTGTTATCCACATGCATTGAGTAATGAGTGACGAAATGTCGTGGTGTTTAATAACCGATTGGTGTTCATGTAGATGAAGGTGAGGAGGGTGGTCACTTTGTCCAATGTGGTGCTGACTACAGTTATTGCAGTTGATTTTGTAAATGATATTCGGTTTCTCTTGTTTGCTTGTTGTATCCTCTGGTCTGCAAAATAGGGATCGGATGGAATGTGTTGGTATATGAGTGGCCACACCAATTTTCAAGTGGTGTCAGCAATCTCGTTGTGATTTGTGATATATTTTTTATGTATGGTAGGACGATGTGATTGTTGATTTGTGTCGATGACTTTGTAGTTGATTATGTGTAGGATAGGCATCTTCTGATACAGTTTCGTGGGTAGCCGTTCTTCTTTATGATGAACATCAAGTAATTTTCTTCATTTCTCCGTAAAGTTGTTGTGCTGTAGGGTGTTATCACTCTTTTGAATACAGTCTGCATGCAAACTGATCTTTTGGGTTGTTGGGTTGCTGCTACTGTAGTTGAGGATTTGTCCAGTGTATGTTGGCTTCCTGTACAATTGGATTTCCAGCTTTCTGGCATTTGTCCTACTGACTAAAACATTTAGGAATGGTAGTTGGTTGTTTGACTCTTTCTCCATTGTGAATTTGATGTCGTTGAAAACGTCGTTGATCAAACTGTGGGTGTTTTCCATATCATCCTTTTAATGATGACAAAGTGTCGTCTACATAACGAATCCAAATTTCTGGTTTGATCACAGGTAGAATAATGGCTTCCAGTCTCTGCATCACTGCTTCTGCTATTAATCCGGATATCGGTGATCCCATTAAAGTTCCTTTCATCTGTTTGTATGTTGTCATTGAATTAGAAGTATGTTGTCATACAAAGGTCGATGAGTTCCATCAGACTTGAACATTTGAGTTTTGTGTGTTCTGAAAGGTTTTTGTCTTCACTGATCAGTAGGGAAATCGTTTCCTTGGCCAATTGATGTTCGATGGATGTGTATAGTGCTGTAACATAGAAGGATATCATTAATTCGTCTTTTTCTATGTTAATATTTTTGATGTTTTCTAAGAATTCTGTTGGTGACTTGATGGAATGTCCGCATGATTGAACGAGGTGTTTCAGTTTTCTTAAAAATTCTCTTGACCCAGCTCAACCCAGCTCAGAGAACACAATACAACCAAGAACACATTATATGATAATATAAGGCTAAATTGTTGAATCGCTTAAAAGAAATTGAAACGTGGAGATTTATTGACTGTCACTTGTAATTTCCAGTTGATAATTAATTATACTAGGTGAAATTGATCTGTATCTGTTAAGTCATAGCCACTGGAATGTAAGCTTCCTTTATAACGTCAAGCTTCATTTTATTGTTATTCACCTGGAAGTGGTTAGTACTGAAATCCAAAAGGCGTGTTTTGTTGCATTCAGCTGCTGTAAGTGTTTAGTTCAACTCAAGTGAAATCACTTCTGGAATAAATGCGTATCTGTTTATTACCATTTTAAGTATCAGAGATTCGATAGACTAGTATTAATACTCTGTGATGATTGCAGGTGAAATTGCAGTCAACTCTCTACCTCAACTTCATCGACTTGGAAAAGACCTTTGACAGCATTGATCGAGAAGTAATTTGGCAGTTGCTTCAACATAACAGAATACCACAAACCTTTATCAATCTCATTCAGCAGCTAGCTATATGAAGACGACACATGCCAAGTAATCCACAATGGCAAGCTCAGTGATGACTTTGAAGTGAAGAAAGGAGTAAGATAAGGCTGTCTACTATCACTCATGATCTTTCCGATTGTGGTCGACTGGACCATGCAACGAACAGTGGGGAGCGAGAATAAGGGAATACGCTGCTTGACCACGTAAAAGAACCCAGAAGATCTGGATTTCGCCAGTGATGACTTGTGTCAGATGTCACACAAACTTGAAGATCTACAGGCGAAAACTAACAAGTTGACAGAGGATGCGAGGCAGTGTAGTGAAGATGGGACTTCAAGTGAATGTAGAGAAGACAGAGGTGATGACGATACACAACCAACACCACCACCACCATCACCAACAACAACAACAAGCTCCACTCAGAATGAAAGGGAGAAACTTGAAGGAAGTATCCTTCTTCACCTATCTACCTAGACAGGCAGCATCGTTTCAACTATAGGTGACACAAATGAGGATGTCAAAGTCAGCCAGGATCGGAAAGACAGCAAGACAGGAGTTCATTATGCTGAAACAAGTGTGGAGATCTCCTGCACTCAGCATAAAGCAGGAAAAATCTCCAGATTTTTCAACACCAACCTGGTCAATTCAGTTCTTCTGTATGGCTCAGAGACTTGTTGCGTTACGAAATGCATTTCCAACAAACTACAGATATTCATCAACAACTGCCTACACTGGTTCGTTATTGAAGATCAGATGGCCAGAATAGTGTAAATAAGCAACAAAGAACTCTGGCCTGTCAACGAACCAACATGACAAGAACCTATCGCTCAACAAATATGCACTGGGAGGAAGTGGAGATGTATTGGGCATACACTGAGAAAGCCGACTGAAGTCATCATGCATCAGGCCGTCGAGTGGAACCTTGACGGGAAACGACGAGTTTGGCGTCCGAGGTGAGGGTGACATGCAGGAGATCATGCGATAAAGAAATGAGAGCATGTTGGCAGTCGTGGCTTCAGGTTCAAAAGTTTGCAGAGAAGATAGTGTACTGGAGACGTGGTAGTGAAGCACTCTATTCCATTCGGAACCCAAGTGACAAATAATAAATAGTGATAGGAATAATAAACTTGGGCACTGAGGTGGAATTCATTACATATTACATTTGTATATTTGATTTATACCACACAGTAAGTGATGTAGTATTACTATTTACTTGGTGACGTTCCGAGCATAAATTACTACTGCTCATAATCATATCAATGTAACCGCACACCACTTTCGACATTTTTATAGTTACGTCACTTTATATGAGTTGTTTTTATTGTCTTTGCGAGTCCCAAATGGGACGAAATGCGCATCCTGGATACCACTGCTAGCCACTGGCGATGATTACTATACATAGTTAAAAGGCAGGCAACATCGAAGCGTCCACACAGGAGACCATATGCCAACAGAGACTGATCAGTTTGTTCCAATCAATGACGGTGTAATACAAACAATAACACTAAACCTATACCCATCGTACAAAAAGTGGCTATCGTGGCTCGGTGGTGTAGTGGATAATACTCTGGCATTTGAGGCGATTGTTCCCCAGTCCCAGTGCCGGTAGGAACAACATCACTCACTGGGAAGCAGGTATATCCAGCTGACCAGTGAGTCCCAAATAGGACGAGACGCGCATCCTGGATTCCACTGCTAGCCACTGCCCATCATTACTTTACATAGTTGTTTTTATTGTTAGCAAAGTTTTCCATATCTCTGGTATAGGTGCTGCATCATTTCTATTACATGTGTTGACTGAGTCTTGATTCGATGAGAAGAGATTCAGTAATCAATCTCTCTCTCTCTCTCTGCCTAATTATACTGGACTGTATTACAGTGACTTTATCCCACTCATCGCATTGTGTGGTTGTGTGTGTTAATGCATGTATAGTAATAGACGAGTTCTTTCTTCTGGATTATTGATCTTATTCACCACTGTCATTCTATATTTAGATAAATTTCTATGTTCGACTATTCTAACTGACCTCGACCGACTGACTAGTTTGACCTATATGTTCGACCTCACAGTCATTACATGGAATTTGATAGATTATATTATTTTGCTTAATTGGTTCTATCAGATCATTAAGTCAGCTGATAAACCTTATCTCTGAATGAGTTTATAGGTTCAAATGCCACCCTAATACCAGCTTTGTTGAGGAATCAGGGTGGAGAGAGAGAGATTAATTACTGAATCTTTGTTCATCAAATCAACACTCAACACATGTAATAGTAATGATGGAGCACACCTATACCAGAGACATGGAAAATTGTGCTACCAATAAAAACAACTCATATAAGGTGATATAACTATGAAAATCGAATGTTGGAAGTAGTGTGTGATTACACATTGATATGATAATGAGCAGTGATAATTTATGCTCGAAATGTCATCCAGCAAATAGAACTAGATCACTTACTGTGTCTTATAAATCAAATAAACAAGTCTAATGTGAAAAATCCCACAACTGAAAATTTATGATGAAACAAACCGTCTACATTTTGAAGTGTCATATCATGTAGTTATTATATATTATTTTCTTACATGTTTTTAATGTGAAGAACTATAACCATTTGAAAAATAATTCTTTTTCAATAACTCTCTAACAACCTTTTGCTTGAAGACACTCAGTTTTGGAGGTTTAATAGCTTGTCTATCAGTTTACGTTCATGGGATATTCCTATTCGTTAGCTGGATAATGGCTATCATTCTGTCAATCATCATCTTTACTATAGCGTGTCAAATGAAACAAGATATAACTCCGTATTTTTTACCATTTCTGATTTACGGGGCTGGTATAATCATTGCTGGTGGAATTGCTTATATTGTCTTATACTTCTCAGAATATTACACAGTGAGTTTCATTTGTTGATTTGATCATATAAACTTTGTTGAAAAATGTAAGTTAATAGAACAGTATGTTAAGGAAGTCAGCTAAAAAAAGCTTATCCATCATATTCATCCATAGAAGCATTGACTCTACTATTCATTCTGGATTAAATTGACTTTTAGCTATTCTTCATTATGAGTATGTTCAGTTACTTGGCAGTTTGTAAACAATCGAATTAAAAATCCATTAAAGCTTTTTAGATAGTAAAGTATGAAAAAAACATATTATCCTTAAAATGAGTAAACATTTCTAATTCTCTAGTATAGATATGCTTATTTCAAGACTTAAATAAGTTGCATGTTTCTTACTTTAACAGACCCTTCATAAAATGAGACATGATATAGTCAACAGCTTTGTATGCTCATCAACTTAACATATTTTAAGATTCTTTCCTAATACAGCAATTTTCACTTATTCTTTGCAACACAAGTGAAAATTAGAAGAGAATGTGTATTCTCAATTGATGTATAGTACTCAACTATAACCAATTCATTATTAAGTCAATAGTGATAATAGTTTATACAAGAATCATTATAATTTATAATCAGATAGAATAGTAAAGATAATAACAATAATAATAATAATAGTAATAGTAATAATAACTCCTTTCACAGTCTAACATGTGATAAATTAGTGAGATACTAATTCAAGAAGTAAAGATTGTGATAAGTATGAACACTTTTATCGTTACTTTCAGACTGGTCAGCATGTGCTTGGCGTTTGCATTCTTTTGGTTGCTATTCCGGTAAGTGTATATTTGTTAGAGGTTAGAAATTGACGAGTGTTTAGTATTCAACATTTCTTTCAAGATGGTCTTCATCATGGAGTGAAATCAGTTGGAGGAACATTGGAATCCTGGTAGTGATGGAGAGGTGTTGCATGCTCGTATTGGACTCCACCACAGTGAGCATCTATGACTCCGCCCTCCGGGGATCCAACCCACAATGTTCAACTCCTCTAGTCAGCATGCCAACACTCAGCTAACTGGTCCGAATCCAATCGTCCATACTTCCTACATAGCGTGAACATCACTCGATGTCATCGATGAGTATTGATTCGTAGGTTCACCATGTTTGACCCACGAGTCATGGCTTCTTACTCGAAATTCAATAATCACCTCTCGAATCGTGTCACCATCGAGGAGTCCCATTCTGGGATGAAACAGATGTCCAGTGCTCCCATGTTACCAATGATCCTCCAGCTGATGTCAGTCCATACTGAACAGTGTGCTGGTGGAGAGGAATAAATGTGCAAGTCAATCATCATGTTCAGTAGGCATCGAAACAAATGCCAATCATTTAGACACATGAGGTGGATATCCCATTTCTAAATGCCATTTTCACTAGCTGGAGTCAACGCTTCGATCAGTGAATCGATGGAGCAGTTTAACACAAATTGAATGCCAGTAGTTGCTTATGAAGTGAAATACACTTTCTTCAACCTTCAATACGTTCAATCAAGTTGATAAACTATCCCTAACTGGAGGTGTTTTATGAATGCTGAGTTGTTATATCAGCTGTCTAATTAAATCTTATTCACTACCCTTCTTTCCATGATACGTAGTGAGACATGTCTCAAACAACTTATCAGTCATTTCTGTTGTGTATATTGGCATAGATTCACCACACAAGGATTAGTTATCATCTCTCTATCCACCTCCCACAGCCACGCCCAATCAATATTATTGTTTCCTCTTCAAATTAATGATCTCGTGGATAGTTCGGTTTTGGTTATGCCTGAGTCTCAACACAACCATATATAATAGGATGCAGCGAACTGAGAATTCTCATATCTGGTCCAGATGTGTAGAGGAGGAGATGGCTAAGCTGGTGGGCACATTGTAAAATAGTCTGTTAACTTCAGTCATCATTCAGGTGAGACTAGACAACATGTAGTTGGTCACGTTTGTGACAGTGATAAATCTTTATATGCAATCCATTGCTATAGGTGGTCAATTGTGGCACGAATGGATCAGTGTCAACGTCTCTGATTGTAGATTTGGGTGCCATTGTTTTGGATCTCTTGTGAAGCATGATTTCCTTCGGGTTGCAGATACGCCCTGTCTACCACTGTGAACAAACACGAAATCCAGCACAATCGATTCCTTGATTATCAAATCATTACCAAACATATACAATAGGAAATACTGAACACGTGTAACTGTATGAGAAACATGGAAAATCTTACTACTCAGATTACAAAAACAGTGATAGAATCTGATCAATATGTATGTCTCACAGATCGGGAGACTTCTTGTCGTTGATGTGGACAAAGAATATTGTCTGAAACATAATTCAGACGAATAACACAGTTTCACTGTGTAGCACACCTTGTTATACTCTAAATAAATTTATACTGCATGACCGTCTCTCTAATCATTATTTCATTCACTTCTCATATATATCACATACACTGACTGAACTCAGTCGATTCTCTTTCAACTTATTTACAGATTAGTCTAATCGAGAGTCAGATGCTTGCAGGAGGAAGAAGACTGATCTTCGATACTAATGACTACATTTTAGTGACAATGTTCCATTGGATTTTAGTCAGCTTCTCATATAGTGGATTGATATTTCAATTCCTGGAAATATGGTTCCCATAACAGCAGATGATTGATCACCTGAGAATACCTCATCATGGTGTATTGCTTATCTAGTGTGATTTGATTTGTAGAACATACGATGACAGTTGTGTATTTGAAGATTCAACTTGATTTGTTGGCCAGAGTATGGCAGTTTCATACTTCCTTATGTACAACTTAACGTTTATTGATGGCTTTGCTTGATTGATATTATGAAAGTGGACACAATTGATTGATTTCTGATTGAAATGTGAACTGAGTGAATGGCCGCTTTGATGTTAACCCGTGTTTCATAATTGTCTCCACAGTCATTACCAGTTTTTCAATAAATCGAATTCTTCCTCCTCATTGTGTCAGTATATTTGTTTAGCTGACAATGTTTGGTTGTCATCGAGTTTGTGGTTTCGAATGCCACAGTATTGCAAGCCTCGTTGAAAATTTTACATTAGGTTTCGAACGCGCCTTCCCTGTATCAATTCTAAAAAATCATTCAGTTCTTAGTCGTGTTGTAGTCATTGCTCACACCAGTACTTTCACTCCTCTTACGCATTCCTATGTATTTCAGAGTGAATTTTCAGACGAGAGATGTTTAGAATGAAAGCTTCTGTTGTGTGTTTCACCTCCTGACTGTTTTCTGCATTACTGAGTAGACGGCTACCTGGATTATTTAGACATTTGTCCAATCTTACCATTAGTAATGCTGTGTGACACGATCTGCAGTCTAGAGTTCTGTTGGAATGTGATGGCTGTGTGAAATCGCTAGTGCTGAAATCATTACCATCCTCTTGTCTTCATTTCATTTTACAGCATAGCGCATGTTTTGTTCATCTTTGTTCATCTTACAGCTTGAAAATAATTTGTATCTTATTAAACATAAGGTCCACTTGTGTGAAATGGCCATGGATATGTAAAGTAATCTATTGAAATATCTTCAATTGGAATGAATGAGAGAGGTTTCTGATTGAAAGCTGTAATTCATAGTATCCGAAGACAAGGTTCTTCCAATCTGGTCATTTCTACAGGAGTTCACTATCCGATTACACTAGACACCATGGTCAGTAAGGGAAGAATTGCATATAGTTGGAATTTAGTGGAGGATATTGAACGAATGTATTCATTCATGTTATGAGTAGAAATGCGTTGATCCTGTTTGGCATCAGATTGAAAGATCAAAACTCCTTCTCATTTATTTCATTTACTCCGTCTCAGAAGTCGACTGATCACAGAAATACTTTGTCAACGCTCTCACAAATTAGTTTTGCATAAAGCTAAACGTTCACACATTGCCTCATTTCAATTTGTTTGCTCATTCCTATCTGCCTAATTAAACCTCAGTACGAACGAATATCGATGATAGTAATTGAGGTGTAAACTGATGTTTTCAAATCTGGTTCCAAATGGATCCTAATAAATTTAATTACAATTTTGAACTTCGTTTTTCAACAGCTGACTTATCTATCACAGTTGAATGATTGAGTAAACAAGATGATAACACGATCATTGTAGAGGTGGGTAAAAATTGTCAACAAGTTCAAAGTACTTGAAATTGAGAAAGACGAAAGCACATTTACCAAAGTGGAATGTAAGTGTCCACAATAGTATCGAAGATGAAATAACTCGTTGTCAAAGTAGATAAGTGGGATGATGTTTGTCCTGATAACAGGCAATTACACTACAGCTACATAATCTTAGGAAGAATGAAACACGTTTGCGTACTTATGTAAAGATATAGAAGTGTAATGGAGAATTGAACAGTTTCGCAGTTACCTTGTAGGCATGAATCAGTGAAGTTTTTCCCTCAGTGTTGTTACTGTGTTTCAAATTGAGAGAATTCGATGTGTGACATTTTCGAGCAGGTTCCTTCAAATCTATTCAGAGTAGCAGTTATCGTTTTGGTTATTCCTGTTCAAATGTAAGTTCTCAATTTTGATCATACCTTCTTCCTTATTGTGGTCAGAAATGTTCCATAACAGAAGACACTGAATACCACCCACCCCATATTTATGATGTTACTGGCAAAATGTTAGAGAATTATTGTCATTTCTCTATCAGTCTTGGAGTAATAATCACATTTCATGAATAACTCGGTCTCCATTTCACAGCATAACAAAACATTAGGAAAGTGGTTATTAGTTCACGAATCACAGTCTACTGGATCATGAATCTTATGAAGGAATACTTCATCCTCATCTCTGCATCAGTTTTGTATTCTTCTCTTACGTACAAGCCACATCCATGATTTCGCATTCATCCATTTTTTCACACGATATCCAATCAATTGTTATTCGAGTTGTTTCAGACGAAGGTGATAAGGAATGAACCTACAGTTGTTTACACTCCTACCACCATCCACATAGCTTGATTTATCATCTCCACTAGTTTTGCGTGCATACAACACCGAGATACGTACTACTGATTTCACTTATCTGATGGTGTGTATATTCCTTCGCAAGGTGTCTGACAAACATGTGGTGGATAAAACAAGGCCGCATTAGTGTCTGAACTGCCAGTTAGATGAGCACAGCATGACTTGAAATCACCGAAGACAATAAATTTATTACTTTTCACATTGAAAATGCGAGCAAAATTGTTGTGTGGAATAAAGTATGCTGGAGAACTGATGGGAAATCTGAGAAAAGTCCTTTGTATCTTTGAAGATTTTACTAGGGAAAGCAGATTTGCTTGTTTGTTCCAGCTTACTGATTCTACTCAGTACTTCTAGTTGAAATGTAGTACAATCTTGTATGCAATTAATTTCCACACAAATCATGTCATGGTATTTCTCGTAAGAGGAGACATTTCGAATGTTTGTAAATAGCATAATGGTGGAATTGATTGGTGAATTTCAACGGAAAGCCAATTTGAGAACTGAAGTCATCAGATTGGAGAATGAAATTATATGAAGTAGAAAGTATAAAATCTTTGTCTATTTGTAGTTATTGTTATAGTCATTCGAGTATTCCCTATCCAGAGTTGCATCTACAATGTCACAAAATAGCTTGCAGCAATCTGATGAATTTCAATGCGGTGATGATACTTTGATGAGATGGAGGAAGTGACCGGTTGGTTATTTGTAGATATAAATGATCATATTTATCTTATTGGATCGTTGTTAGATGCCGATGAAGATTTGTTAATCAGTTGTGGAGTAGACGATTTTTTGGGAAGTTTTGTGAGCTGTTGTAGAATGAAATAATTGTCAAGTGAATTTCTAGTCAACTTGGTCTACTGATTTTAATGGTGTGAGTCGAATGTGTATTTTCAGTCGGTTTAAAGCTCAGACATTTTGTCATTGAGTAATGGAAATCCTAATTTCGTAATGAGACCAATTGTAACACTAACTCGGTTGTGTTGTACCTTTCGAAATAGAACTGATGATTCGTTCTACTGACATTAGTCTATAACAAAACTAAGCAAAGTGATGATGTCACACATTCAGTTCTCCTGATTTGAATCATATCAAACAGGCAAGTGAATTTTACGATGCTCATTCACACGCTTGAACAAATGAACTTGAAGAGTATTTTCAATATTTTCGAAATCGAATAAGCTGAAAGTGAAGTATTTCACAGAACTGTACTAGTAATTTTTCAACCAGTTTGTATTGGTTTCCAGATGAATAGTAGATTAAAGCAGCATTTCACTATGATATTTATCTTCCATTATCACACTATCGAGAATATGTGCTTAACGGAATTGTATGTTCATAGTGAGTTGTTCTCGGAGTTATGTCTATGTTGGCTACGTTTCAGTGTCACGACCGACATCGACATCGGTTCATCACATCGTCACGAGTAGTTCAACAGAAGTCTAGTTTCCTCCACAAGTTACACTACTTAACACCACTATCGAATATCGTCTCCAGTTCAATAACATTTCAGTAGAATATAATGCAACTACTTGTTCAACCTATCTAAACATAAGGATGATATATTTGAGATGTTGTATGATAAGTGATTATTATGCTGAAATGCAACAATGTAGGCTGTGAAGCGAACCATAATTTCACTCAGTTAGCTCAGTTTTGGCACTTGCTTACTACTAATCAATATCGTTTACTCATATTGTTTGTTCCTGAAGGTTAATGATAACTGAAGTGTTGGATGTCTCTCACTTAGAAAGCATAAGGCCAAACAACAGTCACTTGAGTTCCTGGGGCTGACGTATGCTCTGTATTTTGAAACCACATCACCCATTAGTGCACTCTAATAGGAAATCATTCCGACGCGTATAGCTCAATGTGAAGATCGTAAACTGTAGCGCTGTTAGACATAGGTTTCAATATAAGAGGAAACATCACTTCCGTCAAGTTTGTTGAAATGCTTTGCTAAGGAGTGCCAACTTACAAGAAACCTAGATCAATCATGTCTTCATGCCTATCAAAGCCAACCAACTGACACACTGCATACAAACTTCCAGTGTGAACAAGCATTGAATTGCTGGTTGACATCGGTCTGGTAAGTAATACATTTAGCAAAAGTCAGAGTTGTCAGTACCAGTGACATAGGTATCATCTTCATACCTTTACACACTCATCAAATCGATGCTTGTCAGGAGTAGATTTGTCAAGGAAAATACAGGAATTTAAAATAAACTTGTATACGACCTGATCTCAGGATAAATAGAGAAGAATAACTTGATTCTGTGTCATAGTAGCAGTGTGAAAGCCACGTATGCTGTCTATTCGGAAATATATCCATGACAAGAAGGATGCGAACCCTCCATTGCTGTATCCATTTGCAAACAAGCGCTTGTTCTTCATCTCATTCTGTACTGTTCATGTCTTTGTATTTCCATTCAATATTGTGTATTATTATGTTTGCGTGATTGTTCACCTGCCGTTCCTTATCACTTTTCACGTTGCTGTGTATACAACTTGCAGATAGCTCTCACTACACTCACAATAGCGTTGAAGGATTTACACATTGCATTGATGATTGTCTCGTATCTGTCTGCTTCTGTGAACTTCCAATTCCATCTTCGTAGTCTGTGACACCACCTTCATTTGCTCTATTACTTGCAGGAGTATTTCATTGTCTCATTTGATATTTTAAAACATATCACATCTCAGCGTGACTATAAGTAAACCTTCCTGTTTGGGGACATCTTGCATGGTGTTGTCCTGTAAACTGTGGAGGACCGTTGCAATCTTCCTCTAAGGTAATACACTCTCATCTTATTTTACCAAATGTGCTTTTTGCTTTCTGTGAAATATTTGACATTTTCTTCCGTTCACTTCCTCGTCATCTAAGATTACATGGTGTTGGTCACTCTCAATTCTTCCTCTACACTAGACGTCTAGGATTCTTGTCGTACCTTAGCTGAAACGAATGTTTCTTGTTGATCCCCGCACAGATACCTGATTTGACATTAAGACTAGTGGTAGAACCCCTTGCCAGCCACTTCACTTGTCGACCAGCCATTTCTGTGTGGGATAGTGTCAAATCGTCGTTCCTGTTCTCTTGGTATCTAGTTGTTTTAAGCGAGATAGGAACTTTTAGTCGTTGAGATGCAAGGCCTGGTCCTTCAATATAAATTTCGGCATTCCGAAGTTTCAAACTATCCGTCGAATAACTGCCTGAGTTACTGCTTTCTCGTTTTTGTCTGAAATCGCAACGGTTCCCGCGAAACGTGTCACCTGTTCTCGCATCACTAGCAGGTAAATGCACAGATTCCTTTTGGATGTCTGAGAAAATGCTGTTGTTTTTCTACTACCGATCACATGTCACTGACTACTGTAACAGGAATGAACTGCGGTGACGGTCGTGTGCACTGAACACTCTTTACTAATTGGAATTGCGAGTGGGTGAGTACATATTTGCCAACGTCACCTCATATAATCGACCAAAGTCTACTTTGCTGAAGAATGTCCATCGTCCTCACAAGTTCCTAAGTGCCAGATGGTGGCAGTCACAAATTAACTCTTGTCGTAGGCACTTCGGACTTATGGCTCACTAATCCGTTCTGAAACTGGGGTTACACCTTGTAATCTTCGTCTCCAAAGTTTACATCTTAGCCAGATTTGTGAACAAATTTGTCCAAATGAAACTATGCAAGTTTCATTACTTTGACCAAGTTGTATATCTGTCGGCTGAAAGGGAGATAAAGATGTATCTCCAACCATAGAATTTATAAAATCAGTGTAGCCCTGTTGACTATGATGTTGTAAGTGTTTGAAACACAGTTAAATTATTCATTCCTACCTCCATGGAAGGCTGATTATGTATTATCGGACGAGGATATCCAGATGAAATCAGCAGTCCGTTACAAAACAAACGATATGCTTTCGTCATTCAGCCTCATTCCTTCTTTATCATCATACAGTCTTAAAGTAATTACGGAGGAGTTTGACGATACATTAACTGCGCCGCTGGTCATCCATATACCCTCAGAGAGCATCCATAAGAAGTTCATGGGCATCAAAACTTAAAATACCTACCAGCATTCACTTGACAAATATTTAGGTCATCGATGAAGTTACTGACTCACTCATTCATCGATGTCTGAATGTTTCTACAGATCAAAAACTGCTCATATTCTGATCACCTTTCCAGTTCAGTAATCACACTTGTGCCACTGGCGTATGGATTATAATGCAGTTGCCCAGCGATACAATCACTGATACACGACTACTTCACATTTTGAAGGTCTTGTTTGAACAACAATCATGCCGTAGTGCTTATGCAGTGTTAACATTTCCGCATAATGAACATTCCTTTAGTGGGTGATATTTCCTGGCAGACAGTTGACAGATAAACCTTGGATATATATTTGTTCTTCTTGGTTATCATAATCATGACATATCTACAATGTCAAGGAATTAACTTATCTCCTGAGATTCAATGCACACCACCCATGAAATAGTAGATATTCCATGCTGACAAAGGCTGACAAGCACAGCATATCCATCCTTGGATTCCTAACAACTGCTTCAATCCAACTGACATCGATCGAAGTTGATCATGTTGTTGAGTCTTCCTTCTTAGTCATCTCACTGAGAAATTACCACATAAAATTCGGTCAACACTGAGGATCATAAAACATGAAATTGGTTACCTTAGATGAATCAACCAGTTTGCAATGGAAAGCAAAGAGCGTTGTAAGGTTTGACACCAGTTACCAAATTTATCTGAATTGCAAATGGATAAAAGTTACAATTATGAACTCCATTCATCCTTCTTATTCTCCTACTTGTATTACAGTCTTACACGAATACAACAGAGTGAATTCTTTCCAAATCGTGTGAGTTACGAGGAAAAAGTGTCTTCAGTACCACTCAACAAGCTCAAGATTGTGATTTTGATTAACCTACTACTCAATAGTTTTGACTCCTATATGTCTCCTAACACAGTTTGGTGATATCCATCAATCTTGTGAATCAAGTACCCATTGAAAGCGTCAAGTAGGTAAAAAGTATAAGACTATAGTTTCAACATGATTCGTAGTTGCTTATACTTGAGAGTTAGGAGGATATATTACTATCAGAGAGTTGACCTCATTCTAATCAATAAGGTGTAGTGTAAAATAAAAATAAATCATGATCTTCTTTGCAGCTGCACTCATGAACAATGGTACTTAATGTCTACTGTGAAGAAAACATCTTATGATCTTTATCGACATGACGTGAGTGTAAGATAACGAACATTTCCACTGATCCCACCTTGTGGGGTATACTGTTACAGCGTCTTTCATATCATTCTGTATTTCCCTTCCGCTGAATGTCAATCATATGAAGTTGGATGGCTTATCACAGTAACTTCAGTGGTTATATTCTGAAATTGTACAATTGAATAGATAGGCTAGACATTCAAGTGAACTATGCAGAATGATTGGGTAAGGAAAGTTTATTAGAAAGGGATACATTTTCTGAATAGTGTGCACATGTTTGGTTAACTGAAGTTTCATTACATTTGAATAGAATACAATGAGAAAATTGCACAACAGTTAAGTAGAAAGTGAAGAAGAATATTATTGATATTGTGAGTGATGCCAACATGTAGTGAGAATCGAACATGCGCTCAGTGTAGTCTGGTCTCAGCAGTTGACCAATGCGTAAGAGAATCTAAGTGAGTAACAAATGTAGACAAATGAATGTGGGTATACTTCCTTCCATACATTAGAGAAAATGAATTAAGTAATTGAAATAAATAAAAATGTGTCTGTCCTCTTGTAAAACGTACCCATGAACACTACTCCACCTGTCTGGCAACATGATAACGAAATGTTTCATCAGTTCAATAACAGAACACCTCGTGAACTCAGGCTACTCGCCTCCTCTGAGATCTCATTCAAAATTCTCCACAGGGTTTGATCAAACCACTCGAGGGAGTAAGATCAAGGCATTTGTCTACTGCTGAAACACTAGCTATCCAGAAGTTCAAACCAACTCTTTATTTCTAAGAATGGTACATCCAATCTTCATCTATACCATAGTCATCATAAGGCCTTGACTGTCATAGATTTCAGGTAAAGACAATATGTGGTTTCAGTGAAGAAAATCTTTTATTATCGACGAAGTCTTCACTGAAACCACGTCTCGTCTTTTCCTGTCATCAATCGGTGCATTCCGCTGTCATAAATTCACCCTGTACTACGTAACTATACATGTATTTCCATAATCATCTGTTTATTTTCCTACTCTGTCATCATGGATTACATAACTGCAATTTGATTTACTCAACACTTTGTTCATTTTCCTCCTTTTCTTCATACATTCATCCTGTATTGTATAATATCACTTAATTTCATAATCCCTTGTCTATTTTCCCACTGTAAAGCCGAATCCGTCTTAATTAAGTTCCTTTAGTTGCTCAACATATTTTGCCTGCTAACCGGAAATGATTCTCGAAATTCTATCCATTGCAATATATCAAAACGGACACGTTATTCGAGATATTAGAGGACGTTACTGTATGTCTGTACAGCTCATGTACTACTGAATTCACAGAAAGCACAGTTGCACACAGTGGCTAAGTTTTCATACAAATTTATCACTTACAGATTCAGTCTGACACTTGATAATCGTAACTAGTTGACAAATCGAAATCGATCCGATTTATGATATGGCCTATAGTCAAATGAGTAACAGTAGTTTTTATTGTTTGACTATAGAAACAAACGTCTAGTAACACACTATTGCGATGTGTACAGAATTCTCATGTTGTTGTCTCACTCCACAGTTTGAGTAGTCCACCTTGTCTTTACATTTTGTACATCATATCGAAGGACAAATCTCGCTTATTCAAAGTTATTGCGAGTATTTTTGACATTTCTGAAAGGATTTCAGTTCATATATATGAAATAGCTTGATACGGCATACCACTGTCACACACACACGGGAATTAGGTACCATTCAAAATCTCTTGATCCCATCCGTAAAACGACATGGAGGATTTTTGGAAACTGTCAGCTATATGTGGCTCATTTGTCAACATCTACCATGGGATTTTCCCCTAGCAGGTATTCATCCTGCTAACTGCACGGATCTTTGTGCATCAACGAAGCTGAACATTCAGATGAATTGTTGGTTTTAGAAATTTCTGTACACCATTTGATAGTAATTCACCTTACTACAGAGACAAGACGTTTGTCGAATTTACGAGAATGTTACTTATGTATCTGATTCCAGTAAGGTCACTTGACATTAACTTAATCTCTGTTCTTTGTATAAAGATTCTGAAGTGTGTCAGACACTCATCAAGGAAAAGTTGTGTTGGTAATGAAGACTAGTTCAAAATTTCCATCAGACTATTACATCACAGATTATTTCGTACATATAGTTCACTGAATAATTTGTTAATCTGTTTACATTGATGACCTGGTGACTGGAGAATGTGTCCAGTCTTCGAAGAATGAGAAAATTTGGTGAATTGTATTAGTTCGCTTACCATCCTCCGTCCTCCTCGGGAGCATCATTTACATGTTCATCTTTGCTTTCAAAAGGAGTAGAATTCGCCACATATTTGGCAGTGGTATCCACCTGTATTCACTGTTGTCTAAATTAATATTCATCAATGTTACTCTATTCCACTCATTCGTGTGATGACGAGTATATGTATGTATTGTATTAGTGTAGTTTCAGCACGGAATCAAGTCCTTTTATACCACCCTAAATTCTACATTGATAATAATGAGATAATACTACATCCTTAATAATGTTGAGGGTAAGTTATAACGTTTGCTCTACACCTTTAATTTTCGATCACATCATTGTTAGTAATTTAGGAAGTTGTTCATTTATGATATTCTCATTGTGGAATCGAGTAGAATATGTCCACAAATGGTCACCAATAACAAAATTAATCTGCAGTGGTTGGATAGAATGAAGCAAATCAGTCAAATGTATAATTTGCTTGTCAGTGATGACACGTTTAAAAGCATAGAATAACACTGTGATTGACTAATGCCATGAATCTTAGAGCCAAACGATGCCTATATTTAAATATTCCAGTTTGTACTTATGCATTTTGACAGAGGTCACTGACTATGAAGTAGAAGTTCCACAATCATTCAAACCGAATATTAACAGTGGAGTTTCAATAATATATCCGGATATACAAGTAGACGGTTATGCAGGTACCAATGAATTAGCATAGCATAGATAATTGAACAGTTCGTGGAATGTGTAAGTAAATCCGTTCCTACTAAGAAACTGTCAGTGAATAGTCAACAAGTGCTACTCAACTCCACAAATCACCCTCACCTCCGAGGGTGCATACTATTATCACACAAGAAAATCAACATCTGACACACTTACTGGTACAATGAATGGGAGGTAGCCAACAATCAGGAGAGGACAGAGTATCTGAAAACAGAAACATAATATCACACTGTGAACCATTATTGTTGGTGAACATGAGGTATGAAAATAAATTGGCGAAATTGGTGCAGACATTTAGCATCCTGATGTGATGATTTAACTACAGTTGCATTGCCGAATTAGTTAATTAGTTGCCGTGATACTATTCTGTTGCTGTTACCTTAATTGGTTACTTTAAACGTAGCGTTTTGTGCTCGCTTTCTACTCGATTACCTTTGATTTGATAAGTGAGTACATCAAACCAACGTGCCATAGGAAATTCATTCATTCACATTCCACACATTTCACTCACTATCCATTTCTCTTGGTATTATTCATAAACAGAGGACTGTGGAGACAACATATCATGGAGTTAGTTGTGTTTCATTAGTGTAAGCGCATCACACTGACGGATTTTGTTCTGCATTCAGATTGCTTATCGACCCACTTCGGTCGTGTTGACATGGTATTAATATGAACTATGACCATCTTCTGATGATATGAATTAGAGTGAAATTTAACTGTAATTTGTGCTAAGTATTCTATCTTCTCCTGAGATCCTTCCAAAATGTTAGTCATCGACATATTTGATGGAGTATTTGTCATGGTGGGCGATTCAAAGAAGTATGATTTATCTCGACAAGACGAAATTTTCGATAGAAATGGTGATATTGGAAGCAAAGGTTGATTGAGAAATTATGAACAGCAGAAGGCATATCGAATAAGTAAATATCATGGGAAGTAGGTTATACTCTCATACCTCTCATGCATCACTGAGGGCTCAGATATCAACACTGGAAAACATGATCTATGTTTTCAGATGAAAAACGTGAATCTACTTTTTGCATCTTGGTGCATAATACGGATAACACTCCGTTCATGAAATTTCTTACCGAAAATTTCAAATTTTATCCTGCTGGGCAGTTTTTAGAAATTACCTTTCTGATTTCATTAATAAAAACATTCGTTTTCAGTCTTGTAGCCTTATTCATTTATGCCATTACCAGTAGTCATCTTCGAACACCACGTATCAATCACTTTACTCCTGTTATACCGTATTTCCGACACATTCATAATTCTTAAAGAGGATGAGGTGGAAAAGACATCAAAACTCATCAGTCAAACATGTGAGAGGATACATGTCACACAAGAGAAGGATGATGATCGAAACCTTCTGCTTCTAGGTGTCATCGTCAGCATAAAACACCACGTAACTGTACAAACTTAAGTGTACAGAAGTACTACACACTGAACAAATTGTGAATAATAATAATAATAATCTCACAGTTCATAAGAAATGTTATCTGCAAACACTACTCACAAAAGTCGAAACACATTGCAGCAGTGAAGCACCAGAGGACGCTGAAGAAGTGGACCCTTAAAAAGTGTTCTAACTGAATGTCTATTCACTCAGTTTTGTGGAGCATGTTTGTAAGCAGACAATACGATGGTGGAATTGCCTCAAGTTAATAGTTGCATCACTCCAGCCCATGAATGAAGTCTCAGAAACCGTCAACTGAATGCTTTGGCTACTAGGCATTGGATTAGAAGACGAAATGTAGAAGCAGTCGCTGAGTATGTAGTGTAGATCAAGCGAACTGTATCCAAAGCAAGAGAGGAATAATATAATCCACTAAACTAACTGCAAAGAGTGCTCGCAAGACTAATTTGAGCAGCCTCGTCGTCCGGTTGCTCGAAGTATTCATAAACACTAAATAGCGAGCAGTAAAGCGACGGATCACAGCCTCCTCATTTTCAATACACACAGACAATCGTGATCAAAAAATTGTAGGTAGAATGTGGAAGTTTTTAAACAAGCAGGTTCATAAACTGCAAGAGCATTTTTAGAAGTGCGACATTTGAACGATAGTCAATCAACAAATACACGGAGACAAATCCAGTCAGTAATCTACTCAAGAAGAAAATCAGCAATCTACCAATCAGGAGTGACTGGACAAACAAATCACTGATGAAACATGATGTTGCTGTGACAAACAGCACATTCTTTACCAGCGTGACTGAATGAAATTTAAGTTCAAAGAGTAGAGCGTGTGACAGAAATTTCTCTCTCTATCAACTCACAACTAGATAACATTCAAGCCAGTAAAGACACTTCCTAAACAGTTATGTAACATTCGAACACATCTCACTTCTGTATGAAACTAACTTTGAGAATGTTATCAAGCCTGACGACGAAATATCCATGACAAAATATCAGAATTTAGAGGACTCCGAACTACCACCATCCTCATTCAGATCTACAAATACTCTCTTCATTTCTAAGCATAATCAAATGGAGAATGATACATGCTTCTATGGAATCTTATGGTGGTTGTGTGGCTTCTCTGTAAATGTAAACGGTGTCTACTCATGGCATGATTGTGTAATATGTTTACACGAGTATCAGCCATACCCTACCATCTATATCGTATATGAACTGAGTGAATCAGCATACTTCTATCACAACTGTTCTTATATCTCATCAAATGATGTCTGCGTGCCCATTTTGTCTTCGAAATGCCTTCACTATAATCTCAATCGTAGCATGGGAAATGACTTTGTTGCATACTCCACCCGTCCTTCCAAAACTGATATCAGTCCAAACATTCTTCTCAAATCTCAAATAATTCGACTGATATTATAACTAGTAGTATAAGAAATGTGTCCAGTTGCAGTAAGTTATCAGTGAAGTTTCAGAATCACTCATTTCATGATTGGTGACGAACTCTGGTAATCAGCTAGCAGTCTCCTGAGATTAACCACAACAATGATGAATCCTCTAAGTGGGGTACTTATAATATACACAGTAGACTTTGACTAGCAATGGATATTTCGACATAAAGTGGACTGACATTCATTTCAATGTGGTTCCAATGCCAAACCATTAGGGTATACAAAGAATCCTAAATTTTCATGTTCACAGTTTTAAATGGGGAATATGAAAGTGAACAGAAATCAGGGAGTTTTGACTTACTTTGCAAAAGTTGTAAAAATAGAGACAAATGCATATAATGAAGAAGACTCCAAACCAACTGCAAATCACGACGAATAACCAAACTCGAAAAAATTTGATTTGAATGTTTAATCCAATGATTATCATGATAAGTATGAATACTGTTGCAATAAGGAAGGATGTTAGAATGAATTCCAATCGAATACGCAACACTGGTGGTATGAATGCATAACACATGAGTTGAGTCTAGTGTTTGAAGTAAAATGATTACAAAATGATTAGATTACCAATTACAGTTAAAATATATGTTAGTCAGACTGAAAAGTTTATCTTTTCTTTTCTTGCAACTGTCACTTCACTAATTATGTCGAGGTGTATTTATAGAAGTGAGAAACTGAATATTTGAGTAGATAGTCAGTAATGTGGTAGGCAGAATTGTATACCCTAACTGTTATGGTATGTTATGTTATGTACTTACGCCATGTAGGAAAGATTAGATTACTGAGGAAATCAGTAAGTAATGTACCAAGATGAACACATGAATGTCTAGTTGCTGAATATTGAGCATGTTGCTTCTTAAACTCGAAGTTGACAAAGCGTCTAACAACTTTATACTGATTACATCTAAAGCATATTCATGTCTACATGAATTTAATGAAGCAAGCATGATCAAATTACAAAGTTAATGTAGGTTTATAAGTAACCTTAATTTGTAAGTTGCAGTTCCTTCATGTTACCTTTCTGTGTGAAGTACATGATATCATGTAAATGTCGACTTCCGGATTCACGGACCACAGTGGTAGAGATACAAGGAAGTAAAATTGTTATCAGAACTCCTATTAGATAAAGTGGTGAGATGTGAACCAACATGTAGCACAGTAATTTGTAAACACCTATCCAACCAATGAACTGGAAGCCTATGAAGAACACCTTGTCCAGATAACTGACTATTTCAAGTATGAGAATGACACTGTTTTCACAGTGTTGATTACATTGTTTGTGTGGAAAACTGAAGGTATGATGACTCTCTCGAAATAAGTCATCATTGTTAGTGTCCTTGGAAACTGAATGAAAGTTTTGGGATAATCATCGGGTTACCATTCTACGCCAGTAACACAGTCACATTTGCCTGTTTCATTCCCAGCAGACTGTGTACAACTCCGTGTGTATGTTACAAATGCACAAATCATGCATTTACTATTCTCCATAAATTTGGTGAGCTGTCATGCACACTACAAACTAGAGATCTTTCTTTTTTCCATTTGAAGGCTGATTTGAACTGGTTGAGTAGGGCTAGCTGGTGAAACTGACTGTAAGAAAGTGTGCGATTACGGGTGGCAGTTCAGTAAGGTTTATTAACATTTTGAAAGTCTCATAATTCGACACATAAAAAGGGGTTACGATACACAATCCATTTTCATCATTGTTCTCAGTAGTTGGGTTTTTGATCTGTCTTAGATTTCTGACTCCTCTCTCCGTTTGCCATTGATGATGATTTTGAGACAGCTGTGAAAAAGTGTTTAGTGTTCGTGTTGACCTTCTTCGAGGTGAAAGCTTTCTCAACCTTCTGTATGCGAAGATTTTGTTTCACAGAGAGGCATTATGCAAACTGCCTGAGTTGCTTTCAATCAGTTTCCTAATAATTTGGCAGCAGCACATACCTGTACTGACCCTTGGTGGTGAATCAGTAGAATCTGTCAAAAGGTTTGTTGACATGGGCTTTTACATTGCTGGATAGTGGAAGGGAGACTGATGGGATTTGGAAAATCACATCGAAATCTAGATCGCTGTATATTGGTAAGAGTACTCCTTGATGCCGTTCTGATGTGAATCTTGCTTCAGACGTTTCAGCTTACAACGTGTCATTGCATACAGTTTCGTCAATTGGCATCATCAAGCTGAGGATGTCCGACCAACCTACATTTTCGGCTATCGTTATCTCTGTTTGGATGGAAACACCAAGTTACAAAACTTTATATCAGCATTGCATAAGGTCAACTTGAATGCGTTTCTAAATAAAACTTAAGGCATAAGACTGCTGCTCCTCTCAACCGACACACAATCACTGTTGTCATCAAACAATTACTATGTATATGTTTCTCCTCGTGACTCATTTTGTATTAGTAGAGAAGAAAGTGGTTGGCTTCAAAACACAAACAAACAGGAAGTGATTTACTGCACAAATTATCACTTGAAACGTTCGATTTTACAATATACTTCACTGATGATATTCTCAACGATCCAATCAAATATTCAAATAGCCGGTGTACTCTTCAATGATGGATAAGTATCTTTCAAAGTAATGACAGTCTGTTTGATAGAGATAAATGCACTACGGAAACAGACTGTCAGAAACAATTTCAAATGAACAACGTATAAACAGAATGAATGTGATGACAAGAAATGCAGTAAATCTTGTCATATCATCTTAAGAAATGTAGATAATCAACACAGAAATTGTCAGCTTATGGTATAGAAGACTGTAAGCAATCTAGTTTATTCCAAAACAGAGTGCATGAATACCTTTAGGGTAATCACATTATTTAGGTTGACTTACATTGAGAAGTAGAAAAACATGATTAATGGGAAACCTTGCTCGTAGGCCACGCATCAATCCAAACAGCAAACATGAGGCTGCAGACCAAGCACTCGAATAGAAGGGAAAAAAAGACAAAGTGAATTTTTATTAGTTTCACGTTTCGTATTCCGATAAGAGAAAAAGCAAGGTGAGATTAGTAGTGACTGTTAATTGACATTTCTGTGGTTACGGATTCAGCACAGTTTGCATTGAGTCAAATATCCATTTCAGAAGCCTTTGATCACATCGAAATAATGATTCGTGTAGAAGTCTCTTAATGGATTTCCAGTGTTTCTTTTCGAAACTCTCGTCAACCTTACCTTCACCATCGTCAATGGTTATTTAGAGTGTGTTGTTCAAGATTACAGAAACTAATCAACATCTATACAACATGGGCAATATGAACAGATAAGTGAGTTGAACGAAACAAGGAAAAGGAGTTACAATAGTCGTAGAATAATGTGAGTGAATATATTACCATGCAACTGTTAGTCGTTACAGGTGTTCATCCCAAACAGATAAATATGAAATACTTACATTAAAATAAATGATATATACTTTTTTTCTTTGAGTTTCTGACATAAATCTGAACTGTTCAATTGATTTTATGTTGTGTTTTATAGGAACTCACTACACGTTCATCAGTATGATTGTAATGATCATTTCCACAATGGGTAGACTGACAATTATGAAAAGCTGGTGGAGGGAGATATTCAACAATACATCACTTTATCTCATACTTACTTTGATTAAGTTCACACCAGATGTGCTTTGATTCAATGATGAATCTGTCTGAACACTACTGTCTCTTGGCATTCTTCAAAGATTTATTGTTTATTTAGCTGTATATGATAGGAAGAAATTGTTACATTCTGAATCAAGAAATCATTGGATAAATGGAAGATTTTAACCACTAGATAAATCTGAAAATGCTTTCTGTTGATTGTTCCAGTAAAAGACCCCAGTTGTGTTGAGTGAATCCACTTGAGAATTGAACGTAGTTGTGAATGAGGTGTGTAAAACGAATTTCAGTGGAAAGTATGCTGGTCATTATTGTGCAGTCCACAGATTATTTATTATTTGTCCCTTGAGTTCCTATTGGAACATACACCTTGAGTAGGACGTCTCCATTCCACTCTGCACATCTCTGCAGTCTTTTCAACCTGGCTCCGCGATTGCCCACAACCTTTCATTTCTTCCTCACACTATCTCCTCCATGTCACCCTTGCCTCAGACGCCCAACTCAACGTTTCCCATCATGGTTCCACTCGAGTGCCTGGCCTCTCGAGTGGTGTACCCCAATGGTCTTCTCAGTGCATGCCCAACCCATCTCCGCATAACTGAAATCTATTTCCGACTAAGCAAGTGTGAATGAATCTTTGTAATAACTTGAGCAGTGTGTAGTCATTGAGTTCACTAACAGTTTCAGAGAATCTTGAATATGATGTCATTGGAAAATTGGTAAGGGAAGGAAATATATTTCATCATTTTTGGAGTGAGTATAGATTCGAACGAATAGTTTTCACATTCGGGCATACCGATGACAACCAATATTGTCGAATAGTAACAAAACTCAGACTGGTATGTGAAGTATAGGAATAAAACGTGAGAATTTCCACTTTTATGTTTGAGTCACTGAGTCGTTATAGCTGAACTACGAAAGTTCAGATATCAGACACAATCTGCCTGTTAAACAGTTTTCATACAGGTTTTAAGTCATTGTAGTTCACACTGGTTGGTTATTAATATTTCGAGATGGATATCAACATTCAATAAAGGCATATACTTACAGGTTGAATCGAATCTCTGTTATGCATGACGAGAATAGTATTGACTCACGTGAAAGCTCACTAATCAACAGAGTTGATTACAAATATTTCAAGTTGATAAGTATTTCGTATGTTTTATATGATAAATTCTTACCCTGTTTTCATAGTATATCAGCTAGACACACAGAAGTATCAAACCGATGCACACTTCATTCAACTTCAGTTCATAAAGACGATCAAAGTTCAATCTTTAGTCGGACTCATTTGTATCTTTCTTGTTGGATTATAATTGAATAGTATAATATTTCTAAAATATGAAGTGTGTTTTTCTTCGTGAATTAGACATAAATGTAGACTTTGAAATGCGTTCCTAGTCAGAATGAAGTTATTTTGTGTCATACGAATGGATGAAAATTTGTTTAATTACCTACTTATCTATTCATGTGTAAGAATCCATTTGAAGGGTACTTATTGAACATACATTTCAAGAAGAAGAAGAAGAAGACAGTACATAAACAATGACAGATGTGTGCCAACTACACATCATCCATGTATGAAGTTGAGAAGACCACTTTATCATTAGCAATGTGTCGTTTGTCCTCTATATGTTTGCCAACTGGGACCATTTATAAACAAAACAGTGTGGTGCAATCAAATTAGATCTCTAAACTAAGCAATCCCTACCAGTTGATAAAGTCGGTTTCAGATTTCTATTTATTGTTAATATGGATCTATTGAGTGACTTGTTTTCACACTGAATATTGTGCAGGAGATGAAAATGGTTTGACTACTTCATTTCGCTTTGTCATTCATTCATTTTATGAGTCTAGAGAATGTCGATCTCGGTCAAGCTTCCAACTACTTTCAAAAAGATGTGATGAAATGACGGCACTGCGATTTTTTAGAATAAAGTAGGGCACTGAAAGCGAACCATTGTCAATTGAGAAATATGAAATACCCACAGACGTCACAGTTCGAATATGCCTAACATTTGCGTAGTGTAGTTGTTGAATTTACTGGAATTAGTTAGTTAAGAGGAAGCCTAATACAGCAGTATAGGGAGAGTATCATCTACTCAATTCAGTGTCTTACTGTAAACCACTTAACAGAACAAAGATATGACCCCATAATTTACTTGTAGCGTGTTTCGTCAGTGGTTCAAAATGATGTTTCGGAAGCCTTCCACTTTGATTGTCTTCAATAAGGCTAGATATTTCTGTACCAGCCAATACATTGATAGACTTGTTGAATCTATTGGGGTTTAGAACACTGAATTTCGACTGAGACAACAGGAATTCTTCTGAGCAGCCAGTGAGATGATGATGGTGTCACATATCCACTGTGTTTATAACTGTGGTGAGTGAATCTCAGTGGGAGATTTACCTGGTACTGAAAAAATTGGAACTCAGTGGCCTACAGCTCAGAACTATATCGTGGAAGTGGGAGGTTGAAATTCAGCTAGCTTCACCTTCTAAAATCACCTCACATCAAATCAGTGCTAACTTCTTATGTATCAACCAGTGCTGTGTGCATCAACAGACAATGGTGACAAGTTAACTTGATATTCAATGAGGAAATGAGTACCACTTTTTCGAAATTGAGTGCGGATTTGCAAGATTTTACACTCACATAGGAACCAAATAAAGAGGTTGATCAGATAATGAAGGTGGGTGAACAACCAACCATTTATATTCTCATACTCAGTCACAAAATTTTCTGACTCATTGCTAAGCACTAAATTACGATTGTGATGATAGTCCACCTCTATAGAAATTCGTTGTGTATGTGGCGTTCATCTAGTCAGCGTTCAACGCTCGCAAGTGTTACACTTAACCTACGTGATAAGAAAGTGAAATGAAGTCTTTTGAAAATTCAGATGCCTCATATTAACATACCAGAAAAAAATGTAAACGATAAAACCTTGAATGATCTACACAGCCGAATGTGTATTCCAGAGGTTACATTCATGTTTGGCGGGTGTGACTGGTCATGAATCGTATGGAAGTCATTCATATTTATCAACTTGGATAGATACTGAATATCCTAGGTGGAATAAAATGTTTGAAGTATAACTCGCAGCAGCATGAGGGTCAATAAAAATATATTACTCAAGCAGCATTTACTTGGAAAACATCGTATAACCAGTGAAATTTCTTGAAGTGTTGTCCTCATTACCTCAAGTGATGATAAGGTTAATAATTAAGAAATAACTGGAATAGTAAGCAGAATATAACTGAATCATACAAATATAAATGAGTAAACTATAGACGACAATATGTTGATGGTGATTATGCAACTTATAAATAGGTATCACCCATTCAAAAAAGGGAACTGATATGTTAATTTAATCCACTGTAGAAACTACTTGCCTTGAAACAAGGAGTGTGTGGAAAATGAATTGAGCATCTGTTATCAAGATCAATTTTTATTTGGCACCTTTACATAGGAAAATATTTCCAAGCCAATGAAAATTATCTGTTTGTTGGCGGCTTGCCAGTAGGTCAGCTGCTTATACTTACAGAGAATAAGTGAATTCTTACTGAAACGGACGAAACATTCATTCTTATTTAAGAGGACATACAAGCTGATGAATATCAGTCTTATTTTCTTTCAAAAAACACTACGTGAATAAACGCAGAATTCAAGTTCAAGGTTGTTATACAACAAAGATGTGAGATTGAACAGACAAGAGTTTGAGTAAATTTGCATAATCCATGTAGTCTCATCAGGTTCCACAATAAAATACATTGTTTCACATTTAGGAACAAACATACGTCGAGTGGTTATAGGGAATTCATGTGTACATTAGGTTAATTCTGGTACTAAAACTGTGTACGTCCTTATGTCACGCTGTGCATCATTATAGAACAGAACACAGAATACCAGCCATATCTCTACCTCAAATTCATCGACTTTGAAATGGCCTTCGACAGTGTCCACCGAGAAGTAATTTGGCAGGCAGCTGCTTCAACACTGCGCTGTTGGTGCCACAAACCTTTATCAACCTCAATCAACAGCTATATACCATATGAGGACGCTACATGTTAAGTGATTCGCAACACAATGTAAATATCAGAGATGCCTTTGTAGTGAAGACAGAAAGGAGTCAAACAAGATTGTCCCTACTATCACTGGTCATCTTGGTGATCTGGTTGTGGTCGACTGGACTGTGAGGAGCTGTGAAAAGATGGTCGTATGCTGTTTGATGGATGAGTACACCTCAGAAGTAGATTCAGATTTCTACGATGATGATTTATGTCTAAAATCTTGTAGCACAAACTCGAAGATCTATAGGCGATATCTAACAAGTTGACAGAAGAGGTGAGACAGTGAAGGATGATAGGATGCTTTTCAGGTGAACGTAGGGCAGACAGAGGTGAGTTTGATGCCCAACCAACAACAACAACACACAGCGGTAACCATGAATGTGAGAAATGTAAAGGAAGTTGTCTGTTTCACCTACCTAACTGGACAGCATTATGTCAACTACAGGTGGTGGCACATGAACAGATGAGGACGTCTAAGTGAGGATCGGGAAGACGACAGACAGGCCTTCCTTCAATACTCTGAAATCTTATTGGAAACGAATTTAAAATATGTCAAACTTTGTGTTGACTAGAAGTAGAGTGATTAGAAACCGAATCCGGAAAGAGGAAATATTACTCAAAGATGTTTAACCTCACAGTTGAGGAAAAAGTAAAACAACTAATTGATGTATTCAAAGAAAAGAGATAGAGAGAGAAACTTTTGTCAACCGTTGAGTATTCTTGCAGTGTTTTCCAAGTAAATGTTGATGAAGTTGCTTAATCTGGTATGGAAACATCCAGGAATAAAATTCACGATCCAGATAAGGTCAACAATTATTGTCATTTTCATCCTGATCTACAGGTTATCTTTATTATCACAGAGATAACTTTCTATGAAAAGTGAAAAAGCATCTCAATCAATTGAACTGAATAAATTAGGATTTTATCTACTTAAAGATATTTTTGAAAACTCTAAACATGGACGTCAAATTATGAAAAAAAAACAAGGTGAGATATACACAACACATAACTGTTACAATACATTCGTGTGTAAGGTGACACTCTTAACATGTATCATTTTGAAATGCCCACCTTGATTCTATAATCTTATACTTAACTTCATATAACAAACGACGTTGATTTTGTTGAACTTTAGATAAACACTTGAACAAGATCATAAGTACTTGACAAAACAAAACGTTTACCATTGAAAAGATATATATGGCCTACTTTGTGTTTATCAGTTAGATTTTTAAAAATGACAAAGCAAAGGGATAAACTGTCACTTATTCGAATGGTTTTTAAAAAGGTACTATACTATTTATACTATATGAATATTTGTGATTAACAAAATCAATCTTTATAGGTTATGATTCTATTAAGCATTGAAATGTTGATCACATTCTTGATACTATACCCTTTAACATCGATGTAAACTTGTGATAAAGATATTACTTATTTAACAATAATAGAAATTATTACAAAGGATCTTTTTTCGGATACAAATGGATTCCGTATACCTTACTGTGAGTATCTCATTAATAAATTGTATTTCTCATGGGATTAGTATACGACGAAGTATTATAATTCAGTAGTGTTGAAACCTTTACCATTCTCATTAATATAAGAGTGAAACTTGTCCACTATGGTAGAATGTTATTCCATTTTTATTGAGTAATTAGATTTATCAGACAGTGAAGGAACAGTATTCCTTACTGGATTACCTTTCGGACATAATTTACGTTGTCCATAGTCGTCATTATCAAGATCACTACACAACTTTGAGATATCCTTCATACATTGTCCTAATTTCCTCGCCTCTCTTTGTGAGATGTGTAGTAAGATTTTGTATATATCCGGAACAGTTGCTGAATCATTCCCATCGTTGTATGTGTTAGGTGTTGATTCGATAAACAAAGATTCAGTTATCAATCACAACTCTTAGTAGGGATGGGATCATAGTGGCATTTAAACCTACAAACTCACTTCGAAATAGGCTTTGACCCGATTAAGCAGAATAAGCTTAGTTTACCAAATCCCTTGCAACGATTGCAGGTCAAATATATAGGTCAGAGTAGTCTACGAGGGTGAGTCACTTAGGCTATGGGAACATAAACACTTAGCTAGGTCAAAATTGGTAGATCCTAGTAAGGTAAGGAATTTAGAAAAAAACTCAGACATAGCTATGCATGCAGTTACACACAACCACACAACAGAATGGATAGGACAAGGTGAAAATTCTTAAAACTAACATAACAGGGTGAACGGAGAGATTGATAACTGAATCTTTGTTTATCGAATCAACACGTAACACATACAACGATGGAATGACTCAGCATGTGTTCCGGATACATACAAAATCTTACTACACATCTCACAAAGAGAGGCGAGGAAATTAGGACACTATATGAAGGATATCTCAAAGTTGTGTAGTGATCTTGATAATGACGACTATGGACAACGTAAATTATGTCCGAAAGGTAATCCAGTAAGGAATACTGTTCCTTCACTGTGTGATTAATCTAATAAATGAATGGAAATGGAACTTTGCCATTCTCATTTCATTACTGCTTTGTATTTTCTTCTGAATGTAATTTAAGGCGGTTACAATAACTGTATAGCATTTAAGTTGCATAAGTGTAGTTATTCTGTAATGAGAAAGAGATTTTACAGAAAATAACACCGTCTACTTTCTTTCTTTTGTTTTATATACTCAACAAACTGTCTTAATTTCAATTATATTGTTTTACACTTTTATAGTATTCTTGGAGGGACTCTAATGATACTACTAATCCTTCTACCAGATGGAGATAGATTCCAACTAATTGGATATATACTGGCCATCATGATAGTAAGTTATTCTTCTAGAGAGTTTAAAGTTTATTAGAAATGGTGTCTGTAGAACTCAGAAATGAATTGAGCTCATATGGAATTCATTGTAGGTGTACAACCATGTCTAAATACTGTGAAGCCTGCAAATGAAAACATTTTGAAAAATGTATTAAGCATTTGATCCACTAATGAGATATCAACTTCAGTATCTGGATTTAAGTAACGAGAATAAATTACAGTTTAAATCGATTAGAGAACATAGGACAATAATGTTTTGTTAGCAAATAAGTGGGTTAACTAATCAATAAAATATAGTATGAATGAACTGAAAGTAAGCAGAACTTGTCAACTAGTCGCATAGTTGCATACACTTCTCAAAACTATTGAAATAAAAAGTCAACTAATCATTTTCCACATACAATTTTGCATAAGCCAAACAATCGATCAAGTTGGGCAGGGTTACCGAAGCACATTGTGAATATTTATATGAATTAATCTTTTCACTTCCTTGTGAAGCTATCATGCACTGAAAAGAATGTCCAGCATGACAAAGGAAGCTATACCACCCACAGTCCTAGACTTTAATGTTTCCAATAGACCACTTCAAGAACATATCTGTGTACATCTCTTAAGACTGAATAACCTGATATATTGTTATTATTTTATTGTTTTCCCCTTGGGTTCCTAGTAGAACGTGAGGCTTCAGTGGCACGTCAACATTTCACTCTCTTCTATGCAGTCTTTTGAACCTCACGCCACGACTGCCCACAAGCTTTAATTCCTTTCTCATATGATCTCTTCCATGTCAGCCATTTGGATTTCACTCGACTACCTGGCCTGGCTCTTGATGTCCACAGTTAACCTACTCATTGTATGCCCAGTCCATGTTCACTTTTTTCAGCAAACCTAACATAGAGTGACTGTATACTGTGGACTGCGTTAAATTTTTATCCTTCTAGTGAGTGCTGTACATATTTCGCTTTTAGCTTTCATGCTTTATTAGGATGGTAAAGCGTAATGTTCGATTATCATTCCAGTATTGAAATTTCATAGAGAAATATCACTAATTATGAAATCTATGTATGTTTTAATCTGGATACACTTTCGTTACCTTCTGTCTTATTCTATTCTTCTATTGCTGTAGTTAGCTCCTGACTACATTTTCGTTCCTCATAAGTGAAACATCAGTTTCACTTTGAAAAATAACGGTTTCGGGGTTTTTGCCTTTCCTTACATTTGTCTAAGTGAATGCATATATGACTAACATTTCGATTTCATCATTCAATAAAAACATAATCCACTGAATTCATATCTTCTGCAAATAGTCAACTACAAAGTAGGACTGTTGAACATTGTGTTCCTTGAAAATGTCTACAATCTAAGCGAATTTGATATCTGAAAACTTCCTACCGTGTTATATAATGAGTTGTATAACTCACTCACTCAAATTACTCATGAACAAAGAACAAACACTTTTGTTAATGATGAATCGTGGCTAGCAGTGGGATCGAGAATGAGCGTTTTATCCTACTTGCGACTCCTCAGTTGGATGTACTTGCTTCCTAGTGAGCGATGTTGATCACGCCAGGATTCGAACTGGGGAGCGATTGCTTCAAACACCAGAGCGTTATCCACTACACGAAAGAGCACAAGAAGATGCTATCGTAGCTCGTTGGTGTAGTGGATTACGCTCTGGCATTTGAATAGGTCGCTCCCGAGTCCGAATCCCTGCGGGAACAACATTCACTGGGAAGCAAGTACATCCAACTGACGAGTCCCAAGTGGGATGAAATGCGCATCCTGGATTCCACTGCTAGCCACGATCCATCATTAACATAATCAGAATGCAGGCAATATTGAGGCATCCCAACACGAACCCATGTGCCAACAGCGAGCGTTCAATTCGGTCCTATCGAAGCAAGGTCTCATATAAAAACGATTATACTAACAAACGTTTTTATTTAGGCGTTTTAACTCTTCAAGTAATAGTTTGTGGCGATTAATTGTTGCAATATTATTTAAAATCTTTCATCATGGTCACTGACTGAATACATTTTATTGCACTATAACATTACAGACTACTGCAACGGATGCTGGAGTTGGTCTGTTCTCAGTATATTTAGTAAACGACTGGCCCAATACACCATGGATTATAACTGTATCAATATTTGTGGCTTCCTTTCTATCTGGTCTAAAGACCAAATATGATTTAACTCACTTCTGGTTCATTCTACTGCTATACACTTGTGTTGCAATTATATTAGTATTCATCATGTGGATTATATTAGTAGATTTGAAAATGAAAAACGTGAGTTCAATATAATGTAAAAGAAACTTTACACATTATTTTTGAAAAAAATATTTTTCACTTTTGATTTAGTATTTCTAATGACTTCACAACAAAGTATAAATCTAATGACCAAGATTTATGCTTCGTTAATCAGTTGCGTTTGTCATATCATGAAATTTCTGTCTTGTAATTGAGGTCAACAACCTCGCCTTGTTAACTAGTTCACTAGTTACTAGCCGGTCCTGAGTCCGGGTAAAGAGGGAAAGTTGGGCATAGGGCTAGCAACCCTACCCCGTAAAACAAATGTAACCGCTAAACAAACTTCAAAGCTCAAACGATACATAAAAAATAATAACAAAATTATTTCTCGCTGGAATCGGAGAGGCGAAATGATGCCAATTGGAAGCCAATTAGCCGGGCCAATGTGTCTTCTTTCCCTCGATGAAAGCGAAAGTAAACATGGGGACATGGGATGTCCGTACGATGTTTGAACCCAGCAAGGCAGCCCAGATTGCAAAAGAGATGAGAAGGTATGGCATGGAAGTGCTTGGAATTTGCGAAAGCAGATGGAATGGGAGTGGAATCTCCAAACTGTCAACTGGAGAATCAATAATCTACTCTGATATTGTCACCCAGATGACAACCACAAGCACACTGAGCTTTCGAGTGGCTATCATGATGTCCCCGACAGCATCAAAGGCTATAATGCAGTGGGAACCAATCTGCTCATGCAGGATCGTGACAGCAGGATTCAACTCAAAAGGAAGGAAGGTCACAATCATACAATGTCCTATGCACCTACAAATAATGCAGAGCAAGAGAAAAAGGAGGAATTCTGCAGACCACTGCAATCAACACTGGACAAGACCTCAGTTGGCGATATCAAAATTCTAATGGTTGAGGTGACATGAATGCCAAACTGGGAGGGGACAACACAGGAAGAGAACTAACCATGGGTCGAGAAGCGCTAGGTGAAATGAACAAGAATGGAGAATTGTTTGCAGAATTCTGTGCATTCAACGATTTGGTGATTTGAGTCAGGCAGTATGTTCAAGCACAAGAATATCCACAAAGCGACATGGATTTCACCAGACACCAGCACACACTAAAAATAAAATCGACTTTATCTCAGTCTGGAGGGGGTGGAAAGGCAGTCTACTTGACACAAGGTCAAGAAGAGGAGCAAATGTAGGTTCAGACCACTCACTGTCTAGTGCAAGGAACCCACCTTCTAAATCAAGTTAAAAGCCTTCAAGGAAGCTGGTGATAGGCCACAGTTCAAGTACAACACTCGGAAACTGTAGGACGAAACTACAGAGGAAATCTTCACAACAGCCAGCCATCAAGACAAAATGGGAGATATTGAGGAACATCCCTGAAGAAACCTCCGTGGAGGAACACTAGAAGTCTTTGAAAGCTACGTGGAAAGAAACCTGCATAACCGTATTAGGAAGGAAGAAGAAGAGGCAAGAAAATGAATGGATCTCGATGGTCACATGGAAGCTGATAGAGCAGGGAGAAGAGGATGGTGAAGCAGAAGATGAACCAGTGAAAGGATGAAAGATGAGAAGAGGAACTGAGTACAATGTATAAAACACTGGACAAAGAAGTGAAGTAGAGTGCACGGAAAAACAAAAGACACTTCTACGAAACACTGGCAAGTGAAGCAGAACAGGCTGCAGGTAAGGGAGATTTTCCAACGTTGTATCAAATAACCAGGTTACTATCTGGGAAGAGATCAACGCAGACGAAGCCAATAAGAGATGATGATGGAAATTTAATTACGAAAGAAGAGAAACAAAGGAAACAATGGGCCGACAACTTCAAGAAGCTCTTGAATCGACCACCACCTGCACTTCGTCCAGAAATACCACCTGCATGAACAGAACCACAAGTGAACATAAATCGTCCAACAAAAGTCGAATTCGTGAACGCCATAAAGCTGCTGAAGTGCATGAAAGCAGTAGGACCAGATGAAAGCCAGCCAGAAGCACTGAGAGAAGACGCAGAGACAACAGCAGAGATGCTCACGCCACTATTGCAGAAGGTGTGGAAGGAAGAGAAGATACCTGGTGATTGGAAGAAGGGGGACCTCAGTGTTTGCAAGAACTGGCGAGGAATCACTCTCCTGTCCACCCAAAGCAAGCAAAATATTTAGCCGCATCATCCTGGAGATACTAAAGGATGCTCTGGATTCAAAACTACAACCGTAACAGGCAGGCTTCAGGAAGTACAAATCATGTGCTGACCAAATTGCAACTCTTTGCATTATCATAGAACAGATTATAGAATAGCAGTCAACTCAACCTCAACTTTATCGACTTTGAGAAGACCTTTGACAGCGTCGACCGACAGGTAATTTGGAAACTGCTTCAATACTACGGAATACCACAAACCTTTATCAACCTCATTCAACAACTATCTGAAGACACCACATGCCAAGTAATTCACAATGGGAAGCTCAGTGATGCTTTTGCGGTGAGGTGAAGTGAAGACAGGAGTGAAGCAAGGTTGCCTACTATCCCCCATGATATTCCTGATTGTGGTGGACTGGATCATGCAGCAGACAACAGTGAGGAGCGAGAAGAGGGGGATACGCTGGACCGTGGAAAAGAACCTAGAAGATCTGGATTTCGCCTGTGATGACTTGTGTCCGATGTGGCACAAACTTGAAGATCTACAGGCGAAAACTAACAAGCTGACAGAAGATGCGAGGCAGAGCAGCGAAGACGAGACTTCAAGTGAATATAGAGAAGACAGAGGTGATGAAGATACCGCATCAACAACTCCAGCAACAACAACAACAAACTCCAATCACCATCAACTGGAGAGACTTAAAGGAAGTAACCTCCTTCACCTATCTAGGCAGCACTGTTTCAACCACAGGCGGCACAGGCACAGAGGAGGATGTCAAAGTCAGAATCGGAAAAGCAAGACAGGCGTTCATAAGCCTGAAACCAGTGTGGAGATCCACTTCACTGCACTCAGCATGTGGAACAAGGTCCGGATTTTCAACACCAGTCCAGTCAAGTCAGTGCCTCTGTGTGATGGTTCAGAAACTTGGCGCGTTACGAAAGGGTTCTCCAATAAGCTACAGACATTCATCAACAACTGCTTAAGCTTGCTCGCTACTGAAGATCAGATGGCCAGAATAATAAGAATAAGCAACAAGGAGCTCTGGGAACGAACCAACCAAGGACCTATCACTCAACAAATATGCACTAGAAGGATATGGGGATGGATTGGGCATACACTGAGGAGGCTGACTGGGGATATCACACCCTAGGCCAGGCTCTGGAGTGGAACCTCGATGGGAGGCGACATGTTGGGCGTCGGTGGTAAGGGTGAACATGGAGGAGATCGTGCGAGGAGGATATGAGAGCTTCTGGGCAGTTGTGGAGGCAGGTTGAAAAGATTTCAGAGAATAGAGTTCACTGGAGACGTGCTAGTGAAGCCCTTTGTTTCATTATTAACCCAAGGGACTAATAATAATAAATAATAATAGGTTACCTTAGGTAATAAACTTCAGTGAATCTGCCAACATAAAGAGGTTTTCCGGCTGACAGTGCCTGTTTTAATGCCTCAATCGTACATCCTTTGTGAAAATCTCCCATATACTATCTGAAGTATCTTTTTTAATGGCTCAAAATAGAGATTTTTTACTCGAATTTCATACTTTTGCCATAATTAGTAGTAACGCCAGTGTCAATAAATATAGCTCTATTGTTCAAACACCTCAATAAACCTTTTGCAACTGATGAAAGCAGATAACTTTGTCAAAATACTGATTTGATTGCGTTGGCTTATGTAGAAACTTGCATCCAAGCTCTTATATTGCCTCATTAGATTTTTCGTCTTGATAATGGTTTCCTACCTAATAATATTATGGTTAACGTATGATAAACAATGGTTCTATGCAGACAGAAAAAATGTAACTATATCCAGGTATTAATGCAATAACCGGGAAGTTGAATATGTCAAGTTATTTCAGTTCGTATGGGAATGAATATCATAAGTCAAAATCACTTGCTGAAGAACTCATTGATATGATTTTCATGGTTTTGGATAGGAAATCTTGGAGATATCTTTTAGTATTTACAAATTTGATGATAATTCTGATCAGAAGTGCAATAATTTCCAGCTGTATATTTACTAATATACATTTATTGTTGTTTATACTAGGTTGTATTGCATCTTGTTGGGAGTATAATACTGACCATAACATCTCCAGTAAGTACTTCACTTGAACTTTTTACAAATAGTATTTGTTCTATTATTTCTTTAACGGTTAGATTTGTTTTACGGGGTAAGGTTGCCAACCCTATGCCCCACCTTCCATCTTTACCCGGGCTTAAGACCGGTTAGTAACTAGTGAACTAGTTAACCAGGCAGCACTGTCTCAACTACAGGCGGCACGAACAAGGATGTCAAAGTCAGAATCGGAAAATCAAGACAGGCGTTCATAAGCCTGAAAGCAGTGTGGAGATCTCCTGCACTCAGCATAAAATGGGAACAATTTCCGGATTTTAAACACCAACCCAGTCAAGTCAGTGATTCTGTGTGATGGTTCAGAAACTTGGCGCGTTACGAAAAGCATTTCAAATAAACTACACACATTCATCAACAATTGCCTACGCTAGCTCGATACTGACATTGATGATCTGATGGCCAGAATAATACGAATAAGCAACAAGGAACTCTGGCTGACTGGCAACGAACCAACCAAGAACCTATCGCTCAACAAATATGCACTAGAAGGAAGTGGAGATGGATTGGGCATACACTGAGAAGGCCGATTGGGGACATCACGCATCAGGCCCTCAAGTGGAACCTCGAAGGGAAGCGACGAGTTGGGCGTCAGTGGTGAGGGTGACATGGAGGGGATCGTGCGAGGAGGAAATGAGAGCTTGTGGGCTGTTGTGTTGTCAGGTTCAAAAGATTTCAGAGAACAGGGTTAACTGGAGATGTGCTAGTGAAACCCTGTGTTCCATTAGGAATAATAATAATTTCTTCTCTTATTACATGTTGTTCACATACATTTATTTTCTTCTTTCAGGCTATTTTCATTGAAGCACAAAGTTTAAAATATAACAGAGAACAAAGTTTTACTGATGATTATGTACCGTTAGCTTCAGTTATCTGTTGGTTAACAATTACACTGACTTATTATGGAGTACTTTTACAATTTGTTCACTTTAATGTATTTCCTGTCTGCTAAATATGAAGCAAGTAGTGTTTCTGACTGTTTGAAATTCCTGAAATAATAAGTAATAACATTTAATAACTTATCAGTTATCTTCTTACAGTCACTAATAAGTTTTTTGTATATCTCAAAACTATTGGCTTCAGCCTTTGATCCACTATGGAACTGTATATATCTTTTAGTCTACAAACGGAGGTATTAGACAGTTTCAGAATCTGAATATTTCTTATATCTTGTGTAATTTATGACAAAATTTACTCAAAGATAGCAGAAATGGAGTAAAATGAAGTAGATAGTTGAAAATAGGGATGATTCAGAGTAGAACTTTATCCCTGGTTTACTGTTTATAATCGTTCACCAGTTCAATGTAGCAAACAAGTTACCATTAAGTCACTGGATTGAAATCTAATGGTGAACATTTGTCTACTTGTGTCAGTCGTTCACCAGTTCAATGTATATACAGCATTCTAGAGAAGCATGACGAATTGAAAGAAAGATGACCAAACGCAAACAAAAGGATTTTAACTACAAAGCATTATTCTAACTATGTAATTCAAGCATTTGCAGTCAGTGGTGTGTTTGAACTGAATAAGTTCAAGTTAGTTTTTATTCGAAATTGGAGTTAGCTGAAGAAGTACCAAAAAGGGTAAAAACATTGATTACCTTTTTCATCCTAGTTTAATATTTCTTAGCGGTGTGAGTTCACCGATTATTTGAGGCATGAAAAAAAGAAAATCAGACCTCATGGTAAGCAAGCTGCATTTCAGTTAATTAGTTAGAATGCAGTGTACTCAGTGTATCCACCTCATGTTAATTTGTCATAAAGCACAACCATCATTTATGACTATATGTGGATATACCTGAACTACTGGACCTCGAAATTCCAAGCTGTTTACCAGAACCTCAAGAAATACATATTAAAACGCTGGCTAGCTTCAGAATAATACAATTCAAGGATTGATACCAATTGGAGAACTTCTGACAGCCAGTATGCACTGGATAGCCATTTCATCATATTATCGAACTGTAAGGCAGTATGTATTCAGTACCCTGCCAAGGATGAAATATTGATCTCATAGAAAACAAGTTAACAATAAGCCACTGGATTGAAATCTAATGGTAAACATTTGCCTACTTGTGTCAATTCACCACATAACTGTAGTCAGCACTACATTAGATAAAGCGGCCGCCCTCTTCGCCTTCGTCTACATAAGCATCAATTGGCTATTAAACACCACGACATTTCGTCACTCATCACTCAATGTATGTGGGTAACAACTATGAACATGAATTGAATTTCAACAATGTAGAAATTCTCGATGGAGAGAGGAAACACAAAGAATATCACAGAATTCCTGGAGGCTTGGCATTCAGGTCAGTCAGTCAGCAATCAACAGATGTATAGACATAGACCAAATCTATCAACCAATGAGAAAAATGCTAAACGAGAGAAAGGTCAGAGTTGATGTACAGAAACAGTCAACAGGAAAGTCTATGCAGTCAGTCAATGACAAAACAATGCAAGGAAACAACCAATCATAGACCACATCGTCAGAGCAAGTCACTGAATCACTGATGGAGAGATATTGACAGCTCACTACTTCATAGTGAAGTAAGTGCTGATGATGTCGTCTAGAGAGACACTATGAAAGCTTCACGATTAAACAACAAGCCAGCTGAGAGAACACAATACAACCAAGACCATCCACCTGAGCTACAAATATTCTCCATTATTTTGAAATTCACCATATAGCCTGACCATCACTTAAGGCCATCGGCAAGTCTTTGTCCTCACGCTCTTGACTTGGTTGACTCGATAGGTGATAGTTTATCATTAGAACCCTGATCATATCGTCTTATATGGAGTACTTTTAACATCTGTCATACAGGACTTTTACTTCAAATAAGCAATTATTTTAATAGAATACGCGCCATCGAATCAAAATACAATTCATAATGTAAATTCTATGTCGCAAATCTATGGTTTCATGAAAGTGAATGCTGCTTACAATTCATCCATTCTATGAAACAGGGCAACAATGTTTTAGGCTATGAAGTTCCTTGATATCATTTCATTATGACTTGAAATTGTCTTACATAAATATCTCATGATAATAATAATAATAATAATACTGGTGACAGCGTTAATAGGGAATTCAAAGCCTCTTCTATGTTAACATACAATGGAGGCACCTCAGAAGCATTACGAAGAATTTTGAATTACTATAGTATTATTGTGGTACTTAAACCGAAAACCTCACTCAGAAACAAGTTTTGTAGCTAAGAAAATCCTGGAGATGCAATTAAGCAAAATAATTTTGTTTACAAAATCAAGATTACTAGGTGAGATGAGTAGGTAAGAAATTCATTGAAAACCTCGACTATAGTTCTGCACGCAATTACACACAGTCACACAAATGAATGGGATACAGCGATAGTATTCAAATGAAAATAAGTTAGGTGGAGGAAGGCAGAAATTCATAAGTGAGTCTTCTTTATAGAATCAATACCGAACGTACTCAGTAATAGAAATGATTCTGCATTTGTCCCAGATATGTGGAAGATTCTACTCCCTCTGTCATAAAGAACTAGAGAAAGTTAGGACTATATAAACACTAGTTACCTGATATCTTACAGAAATATTCGATATGCTTCCTGTGTTTATCTGAATACTTCTGATCCATTTGGTTAACCCTGAATACTTTCAACATTTTTGAGTTTCTTATAGGATCTGAAATGTAAATATCGAATGATATTTTGTAAATAATGTAGGTTCGATTGAAAATCAAGGGCAATGCAAGGTGTTTTGTATGGAATTTAAATCCCAAGAAGAGGTGGAAAAGTGATGTTTATCAGAAAAACATGAGTTTATCTATAGGAGCTGTTACTGTTCTGCTTTTCTGCTTGCAAACATTCTTAGTAAGGATATGATGATGATTCGGAAATTTGTAAATGGTTTATTTCTGATTGGTATCTGTTTACTTTGAGAAAAACCTATCTTCATCAAAATAGGCCAACTGAACTTCACTATTACTAGGTGATTCCTTCTGATGTTCTGCTGTTACAACTTTCTTCAACTTGTAATAAATTTCCTCCTTATCTCTCCATCTTTCCACCTGACCTATTCCACTTTTATGGCTTGTTATGATTTGTGGTAACTTAATCCATTACACAGTAATGCTACATCCCACGTTCATGACTGACTGACTGATTACATTAAAGTAAACAAAATTTTAAACTTATCAAGACAAGAGTCGTTATATTTACATTTAAACAAAGTAATTCACCATATGACATCATTGCATTCCTATCGAAGATGATCTGAAGTAAGATACAGATTTATCACGCATTCATATGCTCACAAACTAACTAGACGAGGGAAATTCAGACTACATCGTTAGTTGTTCATTTTCATGCAGAATCAAACCACTTCATAGCTTCACTAACCTACATTGATGAATGAACCTAGTGGTACAACGAAAAATTGGTGAACTGAAGTTTTCGCTTTGAGAGAACTTGGTTCTCAGCAGATATTATGAGGAATTTCTACATGGATTTAGAATAAGTCGTTTGTTTTTTACACACTTATATCCGAGATTATGAACCTCATACTGTTTGCGGAGTTTTCAGAGACGCTGAAGAGTAGGAACAGTTAATGTCTAGACAGTGAAGTTTATCGATATAAAGCAAATAACCTTAGTGGTTGGAATGAGACTCAAGTATTAGGTAGCTGACAGGATATCACAGCGCTTTGAGACAAAGTTGGATTGTTCATCTACTGTCCTTTACTTTTGATCACATGATATGTGATATCCAACTCTCATAACGACGAGAAGTTTCTCACTAGTTCAAACTGAGTAGAGGAAATGGTCATAAGTGATATGAGTTGTAAGTCAGGTTGACTAAGAAGTAAGATGATGTTTGAAGTTCATCAGCAAATATCTCGACTCAAGCAACAATTCAGAATAATTCAGTCTACCGAGAAGACCGAAATCTGACTTGTTATGCATATTCATGAACAAAATGTATCGTTTGAAATTCTTAAATCTTTCAGTTCAATTTGCAGTTGTGAAACTGAAGTTCACGTAACCCAACGTTTGGTAAACCATAAGTTTTGGTTATGGTCATGAATGTGTAAACTACACCTCTGGTCTACAGCAGACTTTTATAGTTTTCTCTACTCATAGGCGTGAAAGGTATTTGTGATTTACCCTGAAACACAGTGTCACACTTGTATTAATGATATCTGCAATTTCTCGTTGCTATATACAAGGCTAAATTGCTCGGCCTCTACTGGTAGATGGCCTCAAGTGCGGATGCCTTGATATTGCCGGATATTTATGCTGTTATATTGATCTTGGTGTCTAGCAGAGGAATCCAAGATGTGCGTTATTCCCTAGTTGGGAATCGTCAGTTGGGTGTATCTGCACCCCAGTGAGTGATGTTATTCCTACCGAGGCTTGAACCCAGTACCAAATAGGATGAAACGCGCATCCTGGATTCCTATACTAGTCACAAAGATCAATATAACGTCTGACAATGTTTGCTGAAATATACTATAAAACATGTAATCATACTGAATACCTTACTTGAGCATACATAATGGCTTCTAAATAATCTGCAGTCTATACTTCAAATTGTAAAGGATGGTTGGTATGAGTAACGTGTTTTCATTCCTTCCAGTTAGTTTCATTTTGCCACAAGTTAGTTAGAAGAGATCACATTACCGTAACCCAGCATCTGAATGTAAACTTTTTTCGTATAATGGTCAAACATTTTTCAATACAAAGATGTATTAGGCTTGTGAGTTAAGGATCCCCATGACTTGTACAGTTGACGATCCTGTTTGTGGGCTACATTTTGAGATTGTTTTAGTTAATGTTAAGAAATTTTATTTTAAAAAGGTTGTCTAGGTTTAACTTTCAAAATGTGTATGTATATAGCTCAACACATTTAGTTATTCATACACCTTCAGAACAGGATTATTTCAGTTTGGACAACAACCTGAATGATAATAAACATGCTGTTTGTAAACAGGCACTACCTGTCCAGATAACTACTGAAGGAGAGTAAAACTGCCTACCTCTCAACCATGTTTATAGCATTTATAGATTAACAGAACCAACAGGAAATAATGTTTCCAAGCATTACATTACTATGGAAACGTATCAATGGTAGCTCGTTTTCAGGTCATACTACTAACTGGTATAAATTTTATGCAGTTCGAGATTTGGTTTACCCTGTTAACAGTAGTAGGATGAAAGTTGACGTCTAGGTGTTTAGGCGAATAGCAGAAAAAAGTTATTAATTCCCTAGTTATGTCCTGTGAGTTAAGCATTGAGATTTCCTAGTCCTCGTTTGGCGTAAAAATCTAGTTGAAACAGATAGTAGAAACTACAAGTGTAGCTATATGGAATCTAACATGGTGACACAGATTCTTCACCACTCCATACTGAAAAATATTTCTACGAATCTAGTGAATATATAAACTGTCTTTTTCAGCTTCATTTATGAAACATAATGTTTGTACGACAGCAAAATTTGCTTTATTGACGTTTTTATCTATCCTACAGCAGGATGAGTCGGTTTACAACAATGTTAGATATCGTTTTGCGTATCCTAGCTGATGTAAGTGTCTAATGATTCAAAGTGACATATCATGGAAAATACACTGAATGTATTTCAGTGTGTGCTAAATAGACTTTTAAAACTGATAGTTGTACGACTGAACGAAAGAAGATTCGGTCGTAAATACATCAAACATCCCACTAAATGTAAGGAAGGTTAAAAGCATATGCACCAATGCATTAAATTCGATTAAAATGAGACATGAGATTGGATTTGATGAGAGAATGTCTCTACAAAATGATCATATATCACACTCAGTACGTTTGACTGTCTAATTACGACATAAATGAGCAACGTTTAACAGTTTCATCAGATGAGATGGAGTGTAAATAATCGCATTTCTATACTTATTGTTCATTAAGTAGAAAAAAACTATCAGCCTGTTCTTCAACATCAATCGATACATCTTCATCAGCTATGCATCGACAACACCAAATACTAAACAAATATTTATATTGATCGTCCTCTGAGCTTCCTAGTGAAACATAGAGTTTCATTAACACGTCACCATTTTATTCTCTTCTCTGCAGCCTTTTCAACCTGGCTCCACGATTGTCCACAAGCTTTCATTTCTTCCTCAAACCATCATATTTGGATTGCACTCGATGACCTAGCAAGAGATTTCCCCGAATACTCATCTCAGTGTATTCCCAATCCAATCCAATCCATCTCCACTTTCTTATCCTGCATATTTGTTGGACCATGTGGTCTTGCTTCGTTGGTTCACTGCCAGGTCAGCCAGAGTTCCTTGTTCCATATTCTTTCTGAACATCCATCTGATCTCCATCTTAACTATCGAATGAGTGTAGGCAGCAGCTGTTGATGATGTATGTCTGCAGTTTGTTGGAAATACCTTTCACAAGGTGCCAAGTCTCTCAACCATCACACAGAAGCACTGAATTAGTTGACTGATATTAGTGTTCAAAATTTGGATGCTGTTCACGCTTTATGGTGAGTGCAGTGCAGTGCAGTGCAATACAGTACAGTAGATCTCCACACTGATTTCATATTAATAAATGTAGATCTCTTTTGGTGTCTTTCCGTTCCTGGCTTGGACATCCCCGTTTGTGTCGCCTGTAGTTGAAACGATGCTGCCCACCGAGGTAGGTGACAGATGCTATCTCCTACAGATTTCTCCCTTTCATGGTGATTGGTGCCGGTTGTTGTTGGTTAGTTAGTTGGTGGGTTGGGTATCATCATCACCTCTGCTTTTTCTACATTCACCTGAAGTTCCATCTTCTCTGCCTCACCTCTTCTGTCAACTTGTTAGATGCCACCTGTAGACCTTCGAGTTTGTGCCACAAGACATTAGACATAAATCATCATCGGAGAAATCTAAATCCACTTCTGGGGTCTGCTCATCAGTCAAAGCTCCTCATAGTCTGTTGCATGATCCAGTTCAGTCCAGTCCAGTCGACCACAATCAGGAAGATCATTAGTGATAGTAGGTGGCAACTTTGTCTTACTCCTTTCTGTCTTCACTTCACTTCAAAAACGTCACTGAGCTTTCCATTGTACTGCTAATCACTTGACATGTAGCATCCTCACATGGCGTATAGCTGTTTTTGAATGAGGTGGCTGAAGATTTGTGACACTAACAGCCTAATGTTGAAGCAGCTGCCTGATAAATTACTTCTCCGTAGACACTATCGAAAGCCTTTTCAAAGTCGATGAATTTGAGGTGGAGTTCTGGCTGTTATTCTATGTTCTGTTCTATGATAATGCGAAGCGTGGTGCTGTGGTTCGATCCGCATTCGATTTGCTGTTCTTGAAGCTAACCAGCCTTTCCTAGTTGTATTCAAACAGAACTAAACTGAGTGGAGTGAAGCAGACATTCATAAGTAAATCTTTCTTTATCGAACCAACACCAAATACATTCAGAAACAAATGTCTTCTTTTATCATACTCGATTCTTCAAGATCTCTGCTGCATTCCTTAGACTTTGTTCAATCAATAATTAATGTCGATATATCCAGTTAGTGAATGATTGATCTCGATGGGATTTCTCATCTCACCGTTCTCCCTCTCATCGAAACTATCTGTTTTCCATGTCATTTCATCAGAGATAATCATTTTGGTGTGAGTATCTCAAACCACAATTTGAAGAGATTTCTTCCAAGATGTACTTACAATGTGTAGTTCAAATTCAACAATGATCTATATAGACAAAAGTATGAGGTCGCTATAGGGTCGCCGCTTCGACCGTTACTGGTGACTGCTTTATAGCGGACCTAGAGAATAGTATGCTTCATTCAACAATTGATATTTCATACCTATATAAAAGATACATGGATGACACATTCATCATATGTAATCAAAATACAGATAATGGGACTGTAGTTGAAAAGTTCAATGGTTGATACGCATAGATCAACTTCACATCAGAATTTGAATAGAACTTAGGATTCAGTTTTCTCGATGTCTTAATTGAACGGAGACCAGATAGCTAGCTCTCTTGATAGATTTATTTATAAGAAGACTATATGGGCGCCTAGTTTGATTTATGTAGGTGGGTACCACTCAGCAGAAAAAGTTATCTCATTCATTCTTAATCTTAATGGCATCATCAACACGATCCTCAGTGTGGATTTTGTGCTGATGATGTCGTCTAGAAAGATGATGAAAGCTTCATGATTGAACAACCCAGCTCATAGAACACAATACAATTAAGACCACCCACCTGAACTATAAATATTCTACATTACTTGAACTCTTCATCCAATAACTTTTAACAGTAAGTATTATCGTGTGTATTGTTGTTTCATTCCTAAGTAATACTCTAAATCAAAGTCCCTGCATTAAAAAAATTAAATAAAAACGTGTATTTAATATTACGTAAACTTGAGGATTAACAAAGTTTTTGAATGTTATTATAAACAAGGTTTTTGACAATGAAAAAAATGTTTATTCAACGAATACGATGAACATTGCCTGAAGACAAAACATAGAAAATTGGTTCAATAATTGAAATAATAAAAAGGGTAACGTGAGTAATATAAATATATATATATTCATATTCATATTCGTATACATGTGTGAAGTGTTAGAAATTCTTTGTACTGAATAAAATTGAACTTTTAATACTAAGGTGAGTTGTTACAACACTATGGTCACTTCTGTTCAAATGTTAGTCATTACAACAAATCCGTATTATAAGTAAACATAACGGCTTGGATTCTAACCTAGTGGCTCAATGGTAACTTGCTGGCCATGGAACATGAAGGTCGTGGGTGAACACTGCTAAGGAGTCCCATACTAGGAAGAAACAGCTAACAAGTGCTCTCAAGTATCCTTTGTTACTCTCTAAGTGATGTTAGCCTTCCTATAAATCGATCTATCAAGAGAGCTATCTACCTGATCTCCGTTTCAATAAGACATCGAGAAGCAGTCACCAGTTACGGTCGAAGTGGTGCCCCCATGGCGACCTCCTACTTCTGTCTATATAGCTCATTGTTGAATTTGAACTACACATTGTAAGTACATCTTAGAAGAAATTTCTTCAAATTGTGGTTTGAGATACTCACACCAAAATGATTATCTCGGATGAAATCACATGGAAAACGGATAGTTTCAATGAGAGGGAGAATGGTGAGACGAGAAACCCCATCGAGATCAATCATTCACTAACTGGATATATTGCCAATAATTGTTGAGTGAACAAAGTCTAAGGAATGCAGCAGAGATCTTGAAGAATCGAGTATGATAAAAGAAGACATTTGTTTCTGAATGTATTTGGTGTTGGATCGATAAAGAAAGATTTACTTATGAATTTCTGTTTCACTCCACTCAGTTTAGTTTCGTTTTAATACTGTCGCTTTATCCCACATTATTGTGTGACTGTATGTAACTGCATGCAGAGCTATGGTCGCGCTTGTCTTCAAATTTCTTATCTGATTAAGATTTAGTATTCTTGATTTAGCTCAGGTTTTGTGCTCCTTATCGATTACTTTGACCTCTCAGTTGGTGAATCAAATCATTTTGTCTAATTACATCGATATAATCTTCTTATTTATAAAGCTTGTTTCTAAGTGAGTTTGTTGGTTTAAATAAAGTTTTAATCTTAGCAGCCTTACTGAGAATCTTTCTTAGTGCATCTGAGGTGCCTTTCTTTTATGGCAACTCAGTAGAGGCTTTCAATTCCCACTCAACACTGTCGCTAGCATTACTATTAGTGGTAGAATTTTAACTAAACACCCCTGTGTTAGTACTACTACTACTGCTGCTATTAGTTTACAAGATGAGAATTTTTCAAACTCTCTCTTTGTTACTTTTGTTCGATTTCTTAGGAATGTATTTGTAAACTCAGGTGAGTAATTATTAAGATGCAAAGTGTTCTTGATGTGTCTGGTTTCTTGTCGTGTATTTTCTTGCCTACCAGTAAGCTCTTTTGCCATATGTAGTTAGTGTTGATGACATTTCTTAGAACGATAATGAAGGCAAAACCGTGGAGCTGAGAGAACACCACGCCACTAAAAAGAACCTGTTTATAGTGCTTTCATGAATATGATAACAACTTCCTACCTGAATGAAACGAACTTGTTTTTCTAAGAAAGAATATTTACAATAACTACATTTTAAAGTGTATAACCTATCAAAAGCTTTCATAGAGTGAGAAACAGTTTTCTTTATTCTTCAGTCTAATATTTTTCACCTATTTAACATTCCATTCTTACATTACAGGTCATAAAAATGAATAGTAAACGAAAGTCTATTGAAAAAGTCAACTTGCAGTTTGAAGCAACGCATAGCAACTCTACATTTAAAGTACTGTTAAACATTTTTACAGCATCTAACATATTCAGACCTTGATACTAGCCCTTATTCAGATAGGAGTGTTCGTAGCATTTATGGTGTTGCTTAATATTATGTATGTTTTGTTTGTTAAAATGGAATCTTCTGACCAGAACACCTTTGTCTATAAAGGAAGTCATATTTGCCATCACTAAAATTCATATCATATTGGCTTATGTGAGTATTTATTTTTCTGCCTGTATCACCTAAATTTTGTCACCTATTTTTAATGGTAGTGAAAATTAATAAAAGACAATAAAGCAATGAGAATTTTCTTTCCATCGAATCATTTTCAAAAGATGTACATCATAATCGTAGTTACAGAAATATATATATATATATATATATATATATATATATATATATATATATACCCATCAATGGCTAATGGGTCAATACAATGACATCAGAAACGGTCATTAAAGTAACGAGGTAATAACGGCTAGAAGATCCAATCAAGGTCGTTGAAAATACTGATAGGATTATACAGGGTGATGATTGAAGTTGAAATAAAAATTTAGACCACGGCCAGATTCAAACAAGCGACCATCGAGTTTCCTGCTTTATGCTCTACTAACCGAGCTATGTGGTTCGACTACTGACTAGATTTTCATCTCACTACAATCATCATGGGTTTCGCCCGACAACCATATGAATTTATGCTTCGTTACTACTGCTTGATCTTACTCACACTGGCTACGTAGTCAGATTTTCTCATCCTAATCCAAATCTAACTGAATTGAGGAGAGTGGGGGCACCATATAAAAACTGGGTCAGCAGTTGAACCTCTTAGCTGAGTTGGTAGAGCATCCGGTAGTGAATACGTACCTTCTCCGAAATGTTTGTCTTCACTTCATAAATGACACTGAAAGTAGACTGTCGTGCAGCACAGTGATCAAGGTAATCTAATGCTCAAGAATCAAGCTGTTGACGACTTTACATTGTCCTTCAGACACCCATGCAGGATATTTTTCAAAGCGAGTGTACATTCGCCACCTAAGTATAACAGATGTAGCAGTCCAAAAATACAAGCCTGTTGTTTGTATTTAAGAAAGATACATTGAGTTACTTCTGTTTATTTACCATAATCCTATAACCAATAATTGATGACCTGAACTCTGACCTTCTAGCTGTTGTCACCTTATGACTTCATTGACCATCTCTGATGACTTTGCATCGAGTTATTAGCCATTGATGAATATGTTTATTTTGTTACAAGTCTGATCATTATTCTACACCTTTTGGAAATGATTCATTGGAAAGAGAATTTTCTTCTCTGACTTGTCCTTTACTACTTTTCATTATCTGATGAGATTATTCTAGTTGACAATGGTAATACTGAAAACATGTTCATCATACGTTTCATAAATGACGTGTACCATATCTTCCTGAAACGTTTAGTGCACCATATACTTCCAGACTAATTCAGAGACTTTTAGAAACTGACTCATCACCCTTTCCTGTAAAATAGGTTCTGAGTAACTCTCAGGAGTCGGTTCATCATCATAAAGGAATAATTTGAGATAGTTCAAATGTGAGAAGAATGGGTTCTTATCCATCTTTTTTCTGTTCACAGTCAATATATAACAACAGGTTGCACAATGATGTCAGATCCCCGTTCGCATAGCAAACTGAACTTAAACAGTGAAGAAATGACATATGCGGCAGGATAGTAAGAGAACTTGTAGTGATGAGCAAATGCCTCGATATCACCTGTGTTTGGATAGTGGCTAGTAGTGGAATTCAGGACATGCTAGCCAATATCGATCATTAATATACACCCCACAGCATCAAAACTATGCCTGTCGCACAAGAAGTGGCTAAGGTGACTCAATGGTTTAGTGGATAACGTCCTGGTGTTTAAGGCAGATTGGTCCCAGGTCCAAGTTCTGGTGAGTAGGACATTGCTAAATGGGGGGCAGTTACATTTAGATGACGAGTTCCAGATAGGTCAAAACGCCCATACTGCTTTCCACTCCCAGCCATTGTCCATCATTAATCACTGATGTGGACAGTTACCGAAGATGACGTTGAGAGCATAAAGGCCACAATGTCTCCTTATAGAATTAATGTTTTAATACTCTTGAAAAAAGAGTTTCTACGGTAGATAGAAACGTTAACTAATTAGAAACGTAAAGCTTCTTTCATAGGGTTTTAAGGTAATAACCTGATTATTAGTCAACCTTCCTCTGATATTTCTTAGGATCACCTTTGCTTTAACTAATTATGCAATTTGTCAATTAATTTACTGATTAATCTTGTCAATTACCTGTTGTCAACTCGGTGAAAGCATATTCACTTGCAGTTAGTATGTATGTGACTCATATCTGAGAACTCTTGAAATAACAAACATGATCTTTTATTCCGTTTTACTATCCAGTGCGAAAAGTAGTGATAGTCCCTGTTTTTGCACTGCGCATAAATGCGAAATAATGTATAAAGTATACAAAGGGACAGAAGGAAGTTCACCAGGGTCCAAAATACTTTTAAGTAGTATATATTCGATTGATTTTTGTTCACCAAGTCAATTAACTTGTTATTGTGAATGCAAGCTGAGCATAAGAAATAGACGATGTTGGTTGATGATTCCGTCGAGAAAATTGTAAGCCATTCTGACAAGAAGCTGAAGGAATACAATAGTTATTTGGAGTGAAATGTTATAGTTAGAGTTCATTAGAACCTTTTTTAACCATCAAGTTTTAGACTTCATCCTTTTAGGTCATTTATTCTAGGTGTTATCAAGGAAATTTAATTTTCATCTTACTTTTCCCTCAATAGTTACATATACATGGATAAAGAATACTATGTCAAGAAATCTGGGAAAACTGTCATATTATGTTATGTCTTGTGCATTTTCATTGTTGATTGGACCCAGTTGATTGGTCATTGTTGATATATTGGCTGCTATGTGGATACCTCGATATTACCGGTATTTCAGATTACATAACTTCGATGAATATTAGGCAGCAGTAGAATTAAGGAATCACCAGTTGAAGGTGCCTGACTTATGGTATGTGGTCACGAGCATATAGAGGCACCCTCACAGGATCACCTAAGTCATTAGTGGCCTATCTATTCCATCTAACCAACGACTGTGGTGCACAAGCTATGACGCTAAATACTATACTTTACCCGTCCTATAAAGTGTAGCTTTTGTGAATAGATGGCCTAGTGCATAACGCTATGGCGTTTGAAGCGACCGACTTGGTTCATTGTTCGTTTTGGAATGTTGCCTACAATGACATATTGCTGAGCAAATAGTGATGTAACACGGTGAATTTGTGGCCTTTCCATGCAATCTCACTCTCCTCCTCTTCAGTGAACTATAAAATACTTAATGTATGTAATTACTTAGAGCCAGTATTCACCACTGAGTAAAACGTGACACTCAGTCTTGTCAACTGTACACCATCAAAAAAGGCAGGGAATCAGTAGGACAAAAAATCATTCATTGCTTCAGAAAAAGCTTATTTTTACAAAACGAGAACGGTCAGTAAACGGATATAAAATGTTGAATGCAAAATATGAAGAAAGGAGAATTTTGAGAAAGTGGAGGATATTTGTAGCTCAGATGGATGGTCTTGGTTGTACTGTGTTCTCTCAGCTGGCTTGTTGTTTAATCGTGAAGCTTCCGTAGTGTCTCTCTAGACGACATCATCAGCACTTACTTCACTATGAAGTAGTGAGCTGTCAATATCTCTCCATCAGTGATTCAGTAGCTTGCTGTGACGATGTGGTCTATGATTGGTTGTTTCCTTCCATTGCTTTGTCATTGACTGACTGCATAGACTTTCCTGTTGGCTGTTTCTGTACATCAACTCTGACCTTTCTCTCGTTTAGCATTTTTACTCATTGGTTGATAGATTTGGTCTATGTCTATACATCTGTTGATTGCTGACTGACTGATATGAGTGCCAAGCCTCCAGGAATTCTCTGATGATGTTCTTTGTGTTTCCTCTCTCCATCCAGAATTTCTACATTGTTGAAATTGAATTCATGTCTATGGTTGTTATCCACGTGCATTGAGTGATGAGTGACGAAATGTCGTGGCGTTTAATAACCGATTAGTGTTCATGTAGATGAAGGTGAAGAGGGTGGTCACTTTGTCCAATGTGGTGCTGACTACAGTTATTACAGTTGATTTTGTAAATGATATTCGGTTTGTCTTCTTTGATTGTTGTATCCTTTTGTCTGCGAAATAGGGATTGGATGGAATGTGTTGGTATATGAGTGGCCAAACCAATTCCAGGTGGTGTCAGCAATCTTGTTGTGATTTCTGATATATTCTTTATGTATTGTAGGATGATGGGTTTGTTGATTTGTGTTGATTACATTGTAGTTGATGATGTATAGGATAGGCATCTTCTGATAAAGTTTCATGGGTAGCCGTTCTTCTATAGGATGGACATCGGATAATTTTCTTCTTTTCTCCGTGAAGTTGTTGTACTGTACACTTGGGTTTCCAGCTTTTCGGCATTTGTTCTATTGACTAGAACATCCAGGAATGGTAGTTGGTTGTTTGACTTCTTCTTCATTGTGAACTTGATGTCACTGAAAACGTTTTTTAGTTAGATAGTGGGTGTTTTCTATGTCATCCTTTTAATGATGATAGAAGTGTCATCCACATTGTGATGATGATGTCATCTAGAAGGACGATAAAAGCTTCAACATCAAACAACCCAGCTGAGAGAACACAATCCAACCAAGAGCAAATGATAATTTTGAAGTAATATGATGCCGTATAAAAGATACCGTACAATATTTTTCACAAATGTTTCCCTAACCATTTTTTTGACACTGATATCCTGGATGGAATCCTAATGCCAGAAGTATTATCATTGTATATTTCTCACTTTAAGCCTAATGAAAACTTGTACAAACAATAAACTTATTATATGAACCATTATTGTTTGTTGTTTCATTTTAGGGGTATAGCTTATTTGCTTACAGCAACCATCATCTTTGTGAAGTACATTTATGAGACATTTCCACTAAACATGATTTTGCTTATATTGAATGTAAGTGAAGTTACTTGTAGTTATATTATTCCAGAAGATATTTTCATGTCATCGTTTATTGTACAAAAAGTTGAATCAAGGTCATTAGAAATTACATGTAGAATTATAGTAAATAAACCAAGAAATTTATGAAATATTTTAGGGAGATTATGATCAGGAAGAAATAAGACTTTTTGAACAAAAAGACGTGGCTTGTAACACTGGATTGCCAGATCTTCTGTTTTGCTGAGGTGACAAATACCCACTCACTTTGAAATGTTGACCTTCACTTTATGAATGACACTGAAAGAAGAGTGTCGTGGAGCACAGTGACTAGAGATAATCCAATGCTCAATAATCGAGCTGTTGACGAGTATACACTCTCATTTAGACACACATTTAAAATAGTGTTCGGAGATGCGTTCGTATACAATATGCTTTCTGTGGCAAATGCAACCAGTTTCACAAGATCAGGTGAATTGGTAAACACGCTTATTATTTTATTATTTGTCTATTGGGTTCCTAGTGGAACACAGGGATTCAGTAGCACGTCTTCATTCAACTCTACAGTTCCATATTAGATTTGTTTATTTGATATATAGCACACTGTGATACAGTATTATTTACTTGATTACGTTTCGAGTATAAATTATTGCTCATAATCATATCACATTGATAGATTGACAGACATATAAAATAAACAAATGTAATATGGAATTACATTCTACTACACTGTCCACGTTTTACAACTCTACAGTTCTCAGTGCATGCCTAATCCATCTCCACTTCCTTCTGCAGATTTGCTGAGCGGTAGGTTCTTGCTTTGTTGGTTCGTTGCCAGGCCAGCTACAGTTCCTTGTTGCTTATTCTTATTATTCTGGCCATCTGATCTTCAGTAACGAGCCAGCGTAGACAGTTGTTGGTGAATATCTGTAGTTTGTTGGAAATGCTTTTCGTCAAGCGCCAAGTATCTCAACCATCACATAGAAGCACTGATATGACTGGATTGGTGTTGAAAATCCGGAAGTTGTTCACGCTTTATGCTGAGTGCAGAAGATCTGCATACTTGTTTCTGACTAATAAACGCCTGTCTTACTTTTCTGATACTGGCTGGCTTTGACGTCCTCGTCTGTGTCTGTGCCATCTGTAGTTGAGGTAAACAGAGTTAGAGGTGGTTTTTTAAAGCGGTAGCTTATGTTTTAAACACCCTCAAATCGACTATTGACCAGAGAAGCTCTAGTAGTTCAACATTACAAGACTGATCTCTGTGTTCTAGAAAGATACGCTCAATCTTTAATTTCACCTAATATGGCTTTTCTCATTTCTCTGTTAATTTACTCTCGTCTCATAAACAATTTTTGACAGCCTTGCCATTGGTCGATATTATTATACAAGAGGTGGATATTTTTGTACATTTCTATAATCTGTATATTGTGACTACCCCTCTTCATTCTGAAGATTCGGTAGAGTTGTACTGATATTGAGTGATAACTGAGTATGAGTTAAAAATGTATGCCAAAGCAGATTTCCGAACCGGTGCTCTACCCAGCTGCCGATCATCACCAAGTATTTTTCCTGACTGTTATATGAATTCATGATGCATGACTATAGCTTGGTCATTCTCACGTTGGCTGACCAATCAGGACCTCTTATCTCGATCGAAATCTACTTGAAGTAGAGAGATGGGTGGCATTATACTGATTGTCATTTGGACAATCTGAAGTAGCCTTGATTTGATAGGCTTGTATTAATTCATTTCATATTCAACCGTCGCCGTGCATCAATACAAGTTTGCCAAACTACAGCTAGCTCTGATAGTCAAAATGGCAATCAATACAGTGCCTTCTTCCCCTTTAATTCAAGTAGATTGGGAATATGATGTGAAATCCTGACTGGATGTCCAATACGAACACGATCAAATGATAGTTATGCGTCAGTAATTCATATGAGAGTCAGTCAAAACCTTTGGTGTTTGAACTGAAATAAACATCTAGTCATGAGCAGGGTATTGCAGCTCAACTGATAGAAGACTGAGTGGAAAACATGCTGTGGCACATGTTTTCAATTCCTGCTTAATTATCACTCACTATCAAGTGCTAATTGAATACATAAAAGAGACATGAATCTAGTGGTAGCAAGGGTTCCGGTATCAGTCCTTGACGCCAACAATGGAAAAGAGTAAAGACAATCTTCTTATCAATCTCATAACCACTTTCAAATATATGGTTTTTGATAGATAGGAATTAACGTTTTTACCTGCATTTATCGAACTATTAGAGGTCATTTGTTTCTGAAGTTATTCAGACATATGTTCAACTATTCTTAACTACACAAACACATACATTGTGCTGTTTAGGCTTTCCAAAGACATTAATTGTTTGAGTTTTCCGTTTATTTTGATATCTCAATGCGGAATACTTTTACGGACCGAATATTCTCAATATACACTTCAAATGTTGTTGATTGCATTACCCTGTCGATGAGTGGACCGAACTGATCGTTCCGTATTGGTATTTGGCCCCCTTGAAGTATGCCTTTATAATGAGCTATACATATATTTAACAATAGGGAGTGGCTAGCAGTCGAATCCAGAACCCGCGTTTCGTCCTATTTGTGACTCATCAGCCGATTGTACCTATGCAGATAGATACCGACCAGTTTGGTCAACTCAGCAGCAGGACTATACAAGCACTAGTATCAAAACTATGCCCGTCGTGCAAGAATTGGCCATCGTGGCTCAGTGTTCTAGTAGGTGACGCTCTGGAGATTGAAACGATATATCCTCAGCTCACGTCCTAGTGGTAACAACATCAGTCATTAGGAGGCAGGTACATCAAGTTGACTAGTCTCCAATAGGACAAAACGCTGGTTTAGGAATTCACTGCTATCCACTATGCATCAATTATATACATTCCAAAACACTTAGACATGGAACGCTTACCTACGATACTTGCTTATACCTCTCAATTGTTGTCGCTAGCAGTTCAGTCGAATTCCCCAAGCATTCGGTCAGATTATAGGACCTACAGGAGAATAATTTTTTGACGCAGGTATTCATCATAAGTTTCTGGTTGAAACGAAAACATTTTGTATGACAGGCTGTACAAGAAGTTAGGATGGTCATCATGCGCAGACAATACTTAACAAGACGAAAATCATGAGAATCATATGAAGCCGTGAAAAAAGGTTTTTGAATCTATTATGAATTAACAGAAGTTGGAACTTGTGAACCACTAAAAACCAACCCAGTGACTGAATGGTTTACACGTTCGCTGTGAAACCTTAAAGTCCTGAGTTCGATCCTAGCCGGGTAGTGGGTGCGTGCTGCTCAGGAGTTCCATACAAGAGTTAAATAGCTGTCCACTGCTCCCAGATTTCTAATGGTTCCCCAACTGATGTCAGTCAGTTCATGATGAATGCTACCTCTAAAATTAATTTATTTGTAAAATATTGCACAGTGAAACAGTATCATTTACTGGGTAACGCTTAGAACTTAATTGATTGTTTGTAATCTTATCAAAGAAAGTTGAACAATTTTCACCTGAAACGTGAAAGATCAGTTGCATTCGGAACTTTATTTAGTGAATAATTCTGTTTCACCATGTGAAATTTCCATAAAAACGAACTAACACAATTTTATACTACAAAAATGCTCATATTCCTCGGGTACTTTATTTATTTTTTCAAAATTTAGGCAGCATTAATAAGTTGTGCCTTCGGACCTCTTTTATACATATCTAGTTTGTTGTGGACATGTATATTTCTTAGTGCTGATGGTGTAATCATGGTCACACTTCTCATAGTTGGAGCAAAAGCAAAACTTTCCAGTAAAACCATGCTGCTGATATTCATCTTCGCAATGCTAATCGCCGTAATAGTTATTTGTATCATAGCTGCTGTAAAACAAACCTCATGGGTGAGTTAGTCAAGTTGTTTTTAATAACTACAGTCATCTGGATTTAATTATTTCATTATCACTGAAGAAATGTTTTGCAAACTGTGTATAACATAGTAAATATAAGTAATAGATATCTGAAGTAAGTAAATATAATACTTGCACTGATTTACTCACAACTTTCAAGTTTCATGGTGAACGCGTTGATCATTCATCAACTGGGTCGGTGGTTCAGTCGTTGCAGTTTCTAGCTCTTTTCAATTCACGATATAGCCGAACTATCACCTAAGGTCATCAGTTGGCATGCGCTTCCTTTCTGACTGGTTGACCCACAAGTCAAAGCTTCTCATTATAACTTCAGGATATCCATCTAGGAGTATGTCATAAATGAGCACTACACAGTAACGTATTTTCACCATGAAACGCGGTCCTGAGTTCGACCCTTAGTCAGGTCGTCTGTGTTCATCTAAGGAGTCCCATACCCGGACGATCCCAGGTTTTCAGTGGTTCCTCAACTGATGTCAAAAGTATATTAGCTAGCTTATTTGACTACAATAAGAATATTTTGAACGTTCCACTACATAAGACAAATCTGTTTCATAGATACTCTACGTAATTTTCTTGAAGGCATGTTCTTTGAATTTCCGCATTAACCAGACTTTTCTTTCCTCATCAGCAAGTACACATAGAAACTTTGGAATAAAATAAAGATAGATATGGTTGGAATACTGGAACTGGTTGAAAGAGACGTGGAAGGAAACCTGAAATGCCGTGTTAGGAAAGAAGAACAACAAACAAGACAAGGAATGGTTCACAACGTACATACGGAAGCTAATGGAGCAGGGAGAGGAAGATGGTGATGGTGAAGCAGAAGATGGACCAATGAAAGGATGCATAGCGAAAAGAAGAACTGAGTACAACGTATAAAACTCTGGACAAGGAAGTGAAGAAGAGTGCGCGCAAAGACAAAAGACGCTTCTACGATACACTAGCAAGTGAAGCAGAATAGGTTGCAGGTGGGAGAAACCTGGAAACACTGTATCATGTAAGCAAAATACTATCTGGGATGATATCAGGACAGATGAAACCAGTGAAAGAATGTGAAGGAAACCTACTTTGTAAGGAGGAGAAACAAAGTAAACAATGGGCTGATGACTACAAAAAACTCTTGAACCGACCACCAACTGCAACACGTCTAGAAATACTACCAGCAGACAAGCAATAGAACTATCAGTGAACACAAGCTTCCCAACAAAAGCAGTAGTGAAGTTCCGAACGCCACAAAGTCGCTGAAATCTGGGAAAGCGGCAGGACTAGACGAAAGTCCTCCAGAAGCACTGAAAGCGGACGCAGGGGTATCGGTGGATAAGCTCACACTGTTGTAGGAGGATTGGATGAAGGAAAGGTACCTGCCCACTGATTGAAAGAAGGCTGACCTACGTATTTGCAAGAACTGGCGCTGAATCATGCTCCTTTCCTTGTCCACACTAATCAAAATATTACGCATCATCCTGGATGAAGTAAAACATGCGCCGTATTCAAAATTATGACTGGAAGAGGCTGGCTGAATTCAAGGAAAACAAATCATGTGTGGATCAAATTGCAATGTTACGCTACGCATCATCATAGAACAGAACACTGAATGACAGTCAATTCCCTACCTCGACTTCGTCAACTTTGGAAAGGCCTTCTATACCTCAACTGAGAAGTAATTTGGCATACGAAGTCCAACTACTGACCAGAATTTTATTTCACTTCAATCACCAAGTGTTTTGCCGGACTACCATGTGAATTCTTGACGCGCTACTACCGCTTGATCGGATTCACACTAGCCGCCTAGTTAGGACTTCTTATCCCAATTCAAATCTGACTGAATCAGAGAAGGGGAGCATCATGTTGATTATCACCCGACTATAATTGGCAGACTAGTATTTGTACTGGGTGATGATTGAAGATGAGACGGGGAATCTGGACTGAGGCCGGATTCGAACCAGTGACCACCGACTAACCAGCCCGATGCTCTAACGACTGAGCTACGAGCTCCAAGTGCTGGCCAGAATACTAGTCTGCCAAACTACATCTATCTCAAATGGTCAAATCATAACTTTAATAATTATTCATCAATAGTATTGCACGATTGATTAATGTTTGATTTCTACTGATCATGTAGCACAAACAGGATGGGTTATGCTATCACTAGAATTCCCAGGTTCATCAGTTTCACTGGAAAAAGCTTGTTGGAATAATTCCATCAGCAATTACTAGTTCTTAATAAGAGAATATTCGCAAGTAATCAGTGGTTTATGGAATCATGTAGCTGCTTCCTACTCCACCACCTTAGTCCATATTTTCATTTCATCTTCAACTATCACTCAGTATAATACAAAGATAAAGTTTATTGATGAAATATGTTGGGATGAAGTGGGCAGTTACTAACTGCTTACTTTATACAGCCAGATGGTTATTTAGTGTATCGTATAGTGTAAATTTTTATTAAACTTGTCTCAAACTGCGAATTCTGTTTTTAAAACAGATTAACGAAAACTCTATTGGTTCGTCAGTGGCATTGTTGGCAGTACTGGTAAGCCTTTTGTAAAATTACTTCTCGATTCAAAACGTTTAACAACATCAAATACCTGAAATAACATCATTTACATGAATAGGAATACATATATATGCAGGCCATCACTTAGTTGTTATATGTGTACACAGTATTGATGTGGAAGAACAATCTAAGAAGAAGGAATTGTTTCCAAAAGTCAAGAAGAAAAGGTCTTGTGTAAGCTAGCTAATAAAAACCATTTAGGAGTGAATAACTTGCTTCATCAGACATTAAGCAACAAGGAAGTCTGTCCGCCTGGTGATGAACCAAGAACCTATCACTCAACAGATATGCAGAAGGAAGTGGAGATGGACCGACTGTAGACATCACGCATCAGGCCCTCGAATGAAACCCAGATGGGAAATGGTGAGTTGGGCGAGGGTGTCGGAGTGTGGCATAAAGGAGATCATGTGAAGCAGAAATGAGAGCTTATAGGTAGTCGAGGAAACATGTTCAGAAGATTGCAGAGAAGAGAGTGTAATGGAGACGTGCTGCTGAAGGTGTAGGTTCCACTAGGAACCCAAGGGATAAATAATGTAATAATAATTCACCAGACATGCTTCACAAGAAACGTTTATTTAGAACTACGACATATATATATATATATATATATATATATATATATATTTACGGGCCCTTGAACAATAACGATAACCTCTCGATGGTCACCCAGTATTCTGGATAATTACGAAAGGCGGGAATATAACAAAGGGTGTATTGCAACATCAAGTATATACACAAACTTTAACGGTTTATTAATGTACTAATAATAGTCTTAGCTATTTTCAGACCTTTCTAGATTTGAATCCCAGTTATTTTTCATCTTTTTGAGTAATGTGATATTCATACGTTGTTCCATGTGCTTTCTCCTGGAGCTTCTGGAAACAGCGAATGACTGTTACAAGTTTTAAAGATCTAGCCTTTCTTAATGCAGATCATATCAATCTTATTCCCTACTATTACACCTATCCACTATAAAATGTCTTCTGACTGACTGGTAGCCTTTTACCAGATAGTGACAGACTATTTTCGCATGATTTTCAAACGGATCTTAGTTGAGACATAGGGTTGAATTAACTGAATGGAATCTATAAAAGCTGATAATGAGGTGAATGATTTATTGATACTTTGATGAAGAGTATTTGTTGAGCCTTCCTCTCCCCACTCCAAAAAAAGTAGACTAATACCTATCAACAAAGCATCTCCCATAGTTTTAGATGTTGAACTCTTAAGTTACACAGTACTAATTTTGCAAAAATGTTCAAAGATGGTGTCAACCAGTTGTTTACATTGAATCGTTACCACAACCTTTTTTTAGCACTAAAGTGTTTATCGAATTTGCTGACTTCAGTGAACCAACTTCACTTAGGTTTCACTAATTGCTGGAACAACTTAAATACTCATCAGCATAAATTTTATGTGTTTTTCTATTTATGACTTTCATATGATCGACGTGAACACTCCTTTAGAGCTTTTCAGTCATCTGTCAGTTTATCACATTACTCCTTCTGAGGTTGTATAGAGTTCGCTTGCATATTCCCTGCAGTACTCACTGACTCATTTGAACCGATAATGCTGTCATATTCTTTTTAGTTTTCGTTGAAAAGAAGCTTTACTGTTGCAAATCAAAGCTTGAGATCTTGTATCCATTTTGAGAAAGGGTAATATGTTGAGTAGATAGTCTGGATGAGATCTGAATGTTCTGCTATGAAATTCAGTACCAAAGTCAACATTACAGTATAGTAACCCGATGACATGCCTCTGACTACCTGATGGACTGTCAGTAACTTGTTAATTTTGGTGAATTCGGGATTTCCTGTTTGCCCGGATGTTAGTGGATATGATGTCTGAGGTGGAGCTGGCTTGCAGACAAGACTGATGTCCCTTAAGTTGCATGGACATAAACTATTTTTGATGTAGTTATCCACTATCATGTAAAGCGACTCTTATTTGACGTGTGTATAGAGTCTTTGAACCGTCTGGATTATCTCTGTATTTGTTGAAGTTGACACTTTTACCTGGGGTGTACTCCTTGACGACCTTCCTAAAAATATATAGTACGATGTTTAGTCTAAGGAAACCTGGATCGCACCGAGCATGTTTCATAGTGTTGCAAACTATCGACAGATAATTCATGATTTTCATTTAAGTGATTTGAAATAATAATATCCACATGTTTTATTTCGTGATTAGTAGTAGGAAGGATACAATCAGGCTTCTTAAACTCATTTTCAGCTTCACTATAACTATTTATGAAGTAATTAGTGAGAGTCTCAGATAACTTCTTGGAACGTTAGGATATCAACTGTAGCTGAATTTCATTCAGCATTTGACTGAATTTCTCAATAATCCTTCGTGCTTTCTCCAAAGCGTGGCAAAACTGCTTGAAATTCTTCATTGGAAAAGGGTCGCCAATTGTTATGAGCCTGTTGTTGCCTGTTATATTCTTATGCTGACTTGATATATAAACACGCCTTGAATAACCTGAAATGAGTGTGAAGATCTGCTGAATTTAACCGCACTGCACTGAACTGCACTCAGAATAAGCGTGAACAAGATCCGGATTCTCAACACCAAGTCAGTCAAGTCAGTGCTCCTATATACTTTAGAAACTGGCACGTTGCGAAACGTATTTCCAATAAACTACAGACAAGCATCAACAGCTGCCGCCTACGCTCACTTGATACTGAAAACGGAGATCAGATGGATGGCCAGAATAATAACAATAAGCAACAAGGAACTTTTACTGGCCTGACAACGAACCAACCAAGAACCAATCGCCCAACGAATATGCAGAAGAGAGTGGAAATGGACTGGATTGGATATACACTGGGAATATATATATATGTAATATGCCGGCGCTTGGACAACAACATTCCGATTCCTCCTCTCGATGACTTCTCAGTATTAACAATGGTCTTGGACATTTCCAGACCTTTCTAGATTTGAAACCCACCAAGTTTTCCTTTCTTCACATTGTTTTATTTGCTTTCTCCCAAAGCTCATGGACAAAACGATTGATTGTTACATGTTTCGGAGATTCACGGCTGTTTATGCTGATCATGGCAATGTTATATCACTGTATACCATATTCCTAGCATTTCATAAGTGTTTTAACTCTACGATTATAAAATCTGAATATATCTCATAGTGATGTTTCAGCAACAAACGTGATAGTTGTAGTTAACACCGATCTTATTCATGTGGACTATAGTCCTACCTCTTAAGTCTTGTGTAAGCATATACAGAAACTTTTATCAACCTTAGAGGTAACTTTGTGAAAGTTGTGAAAGTCAAGTCAGGAAATACTAACAGACATGTAAGGTAAGAAAATCGTATTTCACAACATAGTTCACCTTGTCCAATCAGCATTTCTTTAGGAGACAACACAACTCTAGAGGTATCATGAGAGTGGATAACAAGAGTTCGACTGAAAGTCTTGAAATGTTAAATGTGAGTTTATATAGAATATTTGTGGCTCAGTAAGGTAATCTTAATGATATTGTATTCTCCTAGATGGATTATTTAATCGTGGAGCTTACAGTGTTATTCTAGACAACATAATGAATACAGTGAGTGTGGGATTGATTGTTTCTGCTAACATCTTGTTGTTTATCTCATGTCCATTTTTTAATGGTTTTCCTGATGACCTGAAATTTGATCTTCTTATTGGTTGATAGATTGGGTCAATGTGAATATGTCTGTTGATTGGTGACTAATCTGAATACCAAACTTCTAATATCTTTCTGGCATTCATTGTTTCTTCAAGATCTATTCAGGATCTTCACATCTTTTCAGTCAAATTAATGTTGACTGTTGTCTGTGTGCATTGATATGAGTGGAGATACATTATGACGCTTCACCACTAGTTGATATTGATGTAGACGGATGCGAAGAGGGAGACCACTCTGTTCGATGTTGTGGTTTTCACAGTTTCCGCTGTTCATTTCCTAGATAATATTTGGTTTGTCCTTATTTGGTACTGTATCTTTTAGCTTGCTAAACAGACATTGAACAGATTTTGTAAGCTTGTGGAATACAACAAGTAAGAAGTTGACTTCAAAAACTAGCAAACGGATTGTCCTTCGCTACATGTAGAACGTCTGCAAGATTATGACTAGGTTGTTATGGTATCTTGGAATCTCTGTATCTCACAAACTCACAAAATTTGTTTGATGTCTGTTATGCAATAGAGAAAAAAGATAAAGCAAAGATTACTTAGATAATAAACTGCAGAAACTATGAAAAACAGTCAATCGAACAGAGTGGTCTCCCTCTTCGTATTCGTCTACATCAATATCAACTAGTGGTGAAGCGTCATAATGTATCTCCACTCATATCAATGCACATAGACAATAGTCAACATGAATTTGACTGAAAAGATGTGAAGATCCTGAATAGATCCTAAAGAAACAATGAATGTCAGAGAGATATTAGAAGTTTGATATTCAGATTAGTCACCAATCAACAGACATATTCACATTGACTCAATCTATCAACCAATTAGAAGATCAAATAAATATGGAAACAATGACAAGACCTTGACACAAACAACCAATCAAATAAACGTCTACCAGCTCAGGATATTAAATAAATTACAGAGGGGAGTCGTATCATTTACTATGTTCATGATGTCTAGAATGACAATGAAAGCTTGACAATTAAACAATCCAGCTAGGGGAATACAACACCATCAAACTGTTACATGTTTATCTTTTTTTAATGTGAAGTACTCAAATTCATATGTATAAAGACAATAGGCTATAGAATGAACTATGAAAACTGTTATTACTATTATCGGTTGAATGGAATGTTTTAGCTTACTTTTAGCTAAATTTCATTCCAGTTTATGATACAATATATTTATTGATTTGTGTGTTATTTTTCCTTGCTTATTTCATTAAAGCTTCTTATACTTGAAGGTAATAATTTGTCCACAGATGGTATGGCATATGCATTGGCATCTTTACTAATATTTACTACATATATATATGTCTATTATTCCATGTTTTTGCTCTCATTTAAATATCTAAACGAACGTGGTCCTTCCACTCCTACTTACTACTAGTGGATGTTGTTTCCTACTTTTGTTATTTCCATCTTAAGTGAAATTTACGTTTTGAAATATTTCCATTCACAGATAAGTGATAATCCATTCTGTGTTATTTGAAAGCTATTGAAATATTTTCACCCTTTTATCTTATTCATTATAAGCCTTACACAATATCTGAACTGTTCATAGTATACAAGATGTGTTCTGTTAAAGAATCTGTGGTATATATAGTGAAACATTCAGAAGAATTCTGGTTTTGATTATCTAAACACTCTGGGATTATATTAAAAGTAACCTGTATAATGAAGATATGTTATGTAGCAATGAATAATATATGTTATAAGCTATGGTATGTCTTTCTTTTGTTTTCAAGTTAGCTAAACGTAACTGACCAACGTTCCCCCTTCCAGTTAAGTCTATATGAAGAAATGAGTTGTATAAAATAGACTATAAACAGCTACCAACGAAAAATATAAGAAAGTCTCGGGTATCCAGTTACACCTCCTTAGCGGACATGGCAAATAGTGTCCAATCTAGATAATTCCACTAAAACCGGTGTCCTCTCACACTCATTATTTGGCTGATATTAACCGCCCACTCGTCTCTCTTAGTGAGGTGGCATATAGATATTTCTGAGCAAGTGAGTGTGTGACTGCTTCGGAGTAGCCATTTTACACTCAAGTAGGGTTATTTTAAGCTTCCTCACTTTGAGTATTTGATGGTGACCACCGGTAGAGTCACCAGGATGAAGCTCATCATTGGTCTTAAATTACATACCAGACATATAGATGAAAATGCCGACAAACTTGGTTTTAATGGAATGATACTCAGGAAAGACAACAGGCGTATAGACTGTACCTATCATGCATCGTGAGACGTATACTATCCAGGAGCCCATGAAATAGCAAACAGAATACAACATTAACAAACAACTGGCCTACAGATTAGTTGTCCTAGAAGGTCTGTGTACTTACGGTTGGCTCCTCCATTAATTTTGCTGAAAGGGGTTTATTACTGCTAAAACCCTAGCAGTGGACGAAAAGATTTGACAGTGAATTGATTCATAGGTTGATATCTGGTTGACGTTAGAGATTACGAGAAGGTCCATTGTGATGCACCTATACTCTTTCGTCTCGTAAACAGATGAATCGTCAAATACAGTTTGAATATGCACTGTCGATCGGACGTTTAAATGGTGAATCAAAACAGCATGACCAACAGAATTGTATGACAAACTGGATATCCATTTAAAGATGACTAAATGTATGCCGTTGGTCAGTCATTTGACTAGCAGCCAAAAATCTGGTGTCAGATAATGAGGCATTCGGATAACTTCAGCCATTACTGAACATTTTCTTTCGATGATACAGTAGAGTATCAGTAAGCAAACTGCCACATACTATAACCTCAGCCTAATCATTATTAAAATAATTTTTCTCAACAGCACAACTACATTTTTCAATACCTCACCAAGTGTTATCGATTCTTGCTGTAATTCTGTAGGTGACTGATTCAACCAGATTTACTTAGACTACATTCCAATGAAGTGGTCAACATCTTCATTCATAATATATCCTAGATTCACTAACTGTTATTAATATAGACCATCAACTTAATTCTGCAAGGTGTTTATATAAACCTCTAAGGTGTTTGCTTAAAAACTTATTCAACTCTACACAAACTTCAATCAATATAGTGTTGTAGAAAATAAATTGGGATGCGTAGTGAATGGTATTCAGAAGAGAAAAGGAAAGCCAACCATCTATCTCTGAAGCTTTTTCAGGTGCTCTTCCAGACGTGAAACTCTCATTCCATCTGCATGCAAGTGAGGCTTCTCATACTGTTCACTGATACCAGTGTGTATATTACTCAGTAATTATATGACATTGAAAAGTTATCAAAATTTTGATAGGTTTTTCCATAACATTTGTTTGACTACTAGAATTGTGTCAAATTGTATATGGTAGGTCACTCACTGTAAGCCATAACATGTCTACTGACTGTATTCATCAGAAAGTGGAAAGGTGAAAAAAATATGTACCTCATTACAATCAAACACTTTTGCTTGATACAATATACATCAAACAAGCCATGATAGTGTGTACAAACGTAGTTTTATGCTAACAAGATGACAGATTATGGTTTGGAGTTTAAGAAAGACTTTTATACTAAGAGGAATCAATGATAGAATCTAAAGTGAAATGTGTCCACAGGTTTCAATCACATTCAAAAGTGAGGAAAGTGAGTAACTGAAGTCTTATGTGAATAGTTGCAGAAGAAATAATTGAGTAGGCATTTCATGGTGAAGAGGTTGTGAAACACAACTGAAGACATCATTCATACATTCATTGTTATTGTTATTATTATCTATCCCATGGGTTCCTAGTAGATCATACCGTCTCCATTCCACTCTGCACATCTCTGCAGTCTTTTGAACCTGGCACCACCACCTCCCACAAGCCTTCCTTTCTTCCTCATACGATCTCCTCCATGTCACCCTCAGTTGGGACGCCCAACTTGTCATTTTCCATTTGGATTCCACTCGAGTCTCTGGCTTGTCGCGTGATGTCCCCAACTGGTCTTCTCACTGTATGCGCAACCCAGTCCATATCCACTCTCTTCTGCATAATTGTGGGGTGATAAGTTCTCGCTTCATTGGTTCGTCACTAGACAGAGTTCCTTGTTGCTTATTCTTATTATTCTGGCCATCTGATCTTCAGTATCGAGCCAGCGTAGTCAACTGTTGATGAGTGTCTGAAACATATAGTAGCACTGACTTGACTGACTTGGTGTTGAAAATCTGTATCTTGTTCACACTTTATGCTGAGTGCAGTAGATCTCCATACTGATTTCAGATTAGTGAAAGTCTAACTTTTTTATTCTCCCGATACTGGTTTTGACAACCTAATCTGTGCCTGTGCCGCCTGTAGTTGAAACGATGTTGCCTTGCCTGGGTAGGTGAGAAAGACTACTTGATTTAGGCTTCTCCCGTTAATAGTGATTGGTGCTTGTCGTTCATGCTGTTGTTGATTGGGTATATTCATCACCTCCAGGCGAGGTGATTCATGCATTTAGGAACATTTTAAAAGCTTAGTAGTTAACTTAATCGAAGGTTTTAAGAGCATTTTCAGGGAAACAATAACCTCAGTGTACCAACCAATTAAGCATTTGGAAAAGTGTTTACTTGCATACTGACAACGAAGTTACCTTCAGACTGATAGGAAGTGGTCAGAAATGGAAATGATCACTTTAAATCATCGGTCGTTGTGGTTTAAGTGTTTTCATTTTAGATTTTGATTGGTCTATATATAGACAGAATCACCTGATTGGACGATTCGGTAGCCAATCAGATTGTGTTACTCTGTCTTTGGCCTGGAACACTTTTATGGGTGTACGAATTGTATATACATTCTATAGTTTATCAAACAAAGTCATCCTTGAAGTTAAAGGTTAGTCGTTGTCTTCTGATATTTGGATGAGTCAAGAAAGAGTATGGTGCAGTGGCACAATAGTTATATTGGCATTCAGTTCTAGTCTATTACTGCATTCAGTATCATTATTACCGATGTCTCACTCCATTCGGTTACTTCACAGACGTTCAGCAATTGCTAATTTTACGAACTGAAAACCTTTTTTCATCATTATTTTAAGTGTGTTTGAAGTTTAAAGGATAAGCATTGTATCTTTTCAAAACACAAACATGTTGTATGGATTTCTAAATGGATATGCAAATTAGTATTCACCTACTTCGAATAGGATTTGTGTGTTACGAAGCCATCCGTTCTAGAATAAGGTTTGGCGAACTCAATTTCAGACTGAAATTGGCTGTTGACTATTTACTGACTGTAAATATAAGAAACTTTAACATTTCAAAAAGGAAATTAGGCTGTAAGCACTATTCTTCAATTCATCCATATAATAATGACGAAGTGATGAAGTAGTAAACATTTGCTAGCTTACGTTCTTCAAAAAATTTTTTATTTATTTTGCAATCCCATCTAATGAAAGGAAAACTGAGTCCTATGGAAACTGCAATACTGTTAAACGAACGACAAACACTGTGGCATTCATGCATTGCCACTTGCATTCTCACTTCCGCTTAGCGTGTATTTCTGGTTAATTTTCTCTGGAATAGAATACATTTGAATCCTCGCATTTTCGGAAGACGTGTTTACTGGATAATAATATTATTCACATATATTTTGATCGGATTGGGCATGCAGTAAAAGAGACCGTTCGAGGACATCACGCACCAGGCACTCGAGTGGAATAAAGATAGGAAATGACGAGTTGGGCGTCCATGGCGAGGGTGACATGAAGGAGATCATGTGGGGAAGAAACGAGAACTTGTAGACAGTGATGGAGCCAGGTCCAAAAGATTGTAGAGAACTGGAGAGTAGAATGGAGACGTGTTACTGAAGCTCTGTGTTCCTCTAGGAACCCAAGCGACAATTTATAATAATAATAATAATACTTATAATAGCATTTTAATCACTGAAAAGCAACTAATTTCATGGGTGTTAGCTGGTTGGATATAATCCATTCAAGTGATTGAGGACGGTTAGCCTTCTATCCTATGGGCAACAGTGTAAAATGATTGATATCGTAAGGTCAGTACCCAAAACCGGATTAAATCAAATCGGTGGCTCTTAAGTAGTAGGTCAACATATTCAATGCAGTCCTACGGCGGAGAATCGCAACGAGAATAGCTCAATAGTATTGCTTGTGACTTCAGTACTGAGTGAAGCTGGAATGTATATCTTTGGGAACATCCGTTCTCTCGAAGTTGCAGATACACTTTTCCGATATGTGCCAACAATCAAGAAATCAATCAAGAATCATAGGATTCCTGCCGATTGCCGTCAACAGACTGACATGTAAGCGACTCATATACACTGAATAACATTTACCACTGGATGGCTTATGCCGACTGAATTACTTTATTACCAACGAACTATTTTTTTTATTACATAATGGAAAAATCCAGGATTGTCTATATCATAAATGAGTGAACAATCATTGCATGTGAGTAGGTGACTTCAGCAACTGTTCTTAACTTGCCTGTAATCATAAAAACCAGACGAAGGGCATGCCTATTTATCACATTCACGGCCGAGAACCATGAAGTGTATTCTTATGTATCACCAGTCTTCAAGATAAGAGATAAGAAGGAAGTTCACATGGGATTCAGGATGTCGGTTAAAGTGTCAGGACATTTACAAAACTTAGTATTTCGAAACAGTAGCATGTAACTTGACAATGGAGTTGAAATTACATACAACAAAGGCTTTTCAAATCGCGAAGACTTTGTCGTTTCAGAGTCAGTCGCTCTTCGTTATCACCCATCGAATGTATTTTCTCCCTTCACAATACTACTTCACCAAGATGACAGTATTAGTTTCAACTGTTTAAACAGGATCTTTTACAAACTAACAACTGGTAGTATTTGTATGAGCATTTGTACTATGCGACAAAATGTAAGTTATCAGTGTTTGTTAAATTACAAAACTCAGTTCGACGTCTTCATATAATTGTAAATAGTAAAATTCGTATTCAATTATGTAACCGAATTATACATGTAACGCATTCTCATGGGATCCGAATTCCAAAAGTTATCTTCTTCATATTGAGAATAATCATCGTATCAAGTAACATTTATCTGCTAACAATGAACGAATGATATCATTTCCTATTGGACAAATAAATTTATAAGTTTATATCTTCTTCTATGTAGGAGAAAGCATACAATATAAAGGCTAACACATACTACTTTACTAATCCACTGCTCAATATATATTTCGGTCATACAGTTATATGTATACATAATTATTCTGAAGTAGATTGAAATGTTCAGTTGATTATTAACATATTATTATTTGTCGCTTGGGTTCCTAGTGAAACAAAGGGCTTCAGTAACACGTCTACAGCGCACTCTGCTCTCTGCAGTCTTTTGAACCTGGCTCCACGACTGCCCACAAGCTCTCACTTCTTCCCCACACCATCTCCTTCATGTCACTCTCGCCTTGGACGCCCAACTCGTCATTTCTCATCTGGGTTCCACTCGATGGCCTGGCCTGACGCGTGATGTCGCTAGTCGGTCTTCTCAGTGTATGCCCAATCTATCTCAACACTCTTCTGCATATTTGTTGGACGATGGGTTCTTGTTTTGTTGGTTTGCTTTCAGGCCAGCTAGAGTTCCTTGTTGCTTATTCTTCCCATTCTGGTCATCTGAGCTTTACTATCGAACCAGTGTAGGCAGCAGTTGATGAATATCTCTAGTTTGTTGGAAATCCCTTTCGTAATACGCCAAGTAGCTGAGGCATACGGAAGCACTGACTTGACTGGGTTGGTGTTGAAAATCCGGAGCATGTTCATGCTTTATGTTGCGTGCAGTGCAGAAGATCTCCACATTGGTTTCAGGCCAATGAACATCTGTTTTGCTGTCTTTCCGATTGTGGCTTTGACGTCTTCGTCTGTGCATCGCGCAGTTGAAACGGTGCTGCCTAGATAGGTGAAAGAGACAACTTGCTTTAGGTTTCTCCCGTTGATAGTGATTGGTGTTTGTTGTTGTTGGTTTGGTATCTTCATCATCACCTCTGTCTTCTCTACATTCACTTGAAGTCCCATCTTCGCTGCCTTGCCTCGCATCTTCTGTCAACTTGTTGGTTTTCGACTGTAGATCTTCAAGTTTGTGTGACGTTACATATAAATTATGAAAGGCGAAATCCAAATCTTCTAGGTTCTTTTCCCCGGTCCAGCCAGCGTATTTCCCTCTTCTTGCTCCTCACTGTTGTCTGCTGCATGATCCAGTCGACCACAATCAGGAAGATCATGGGTGATAGTAGGCAACCTTGTTTTACTCCAGTCATCTCTTCAAAGTCTTCATTGAGATTCCTATTGTGAATTACTTGGCGTGTGGCGTCAGATGATTATGCGTGTTCACAAATGGCTCATTTCAAGTAAACATATCTCATATAGGATTCTTTTTTCTACTAAAATGCTCAAGCTGTATGCTCACTTTAATAGTCTCAAGATGGTTGCTATTATATTTCACAGTTCTTGTCTCGTTTTCGATTACTTTAAAAATGTTGTACGTTATCCAGGTGATTTTCATATCTAAGATGTTAAGAAACTAGGAAGTCATTATCATGCTGACGTATTTCACTTTTATGTGTTATATATGTCTTTCCCATGAAAATTGTTGTGTTTATAAAAACTTTTTCATGCCTAAATTTTCATTCACACTGTAATAGTGAAGTTCCTTTGTAAAATCCTATGAGACAATATCAACTAGGCTTTGTAACAAATTTGATGATATAAAGAAGGTGAAGAATGAGACAAGGGTCATATTGAAGGTGATAATAACAGTGAACTAATTAATTATAATGAAATGGAGAAAAATGAAAGTGTTAAGACCATGGTAAGATGAGAGATTGAACATGCTTGTTTTGCACACAGAGATGAGGCTTGAATTGATGAATTGCGAGTGCCTCCACTGTGCACAACTGTCGAAGGCGTACTCCTTTTCAACTATTCCATCTGACACGATGAATGACATTGAAGGAGGATTCTGGTGTAGCTTTATGTCCATAGTTGACCAAATGTTCAATAATTGAACTGTTAATTGATTTACATATAACTGTAACCAGCGCATACGAATACATACATACATACATGCAATTTTGTAAAACACGTTGGTATTCATCATGGATATTACATCCGTTGGAGGAACACTGGATAGCTGTTCCACTGTAGTATGCGACTCCTCAGTAATGTACAACCTTGACCTCATTGTGGGCCTTCACGCTCCGTAGCCAGCACGATACACTTCAGTAACTGGGTTGAAATCCAGTGGTTCAAATTAAAGTGATCTACCACTCATTGGTGACTAGCTTTGAGAGGTGATTTCCGAAGTACTAATGAGAAGTCGTGACCATTGGGGCAAAACTGGTGTCCGTGAGGACAAATATTGAGCGATAACACTGGATGATGATTGCGCTACGTTATTAAGTGTGCGTCATTGGATTCCGACATAGTGGCTCAATGGTAACGTTCTGACAACGGGACGTGTAGGCTGTGGTCATACATGCGCACTGATGAGGAGTCGCGTACTAGGACGGACGAATCAGCTGTTCAGTGCTACCAGGTTTCCAGTGTTTCTCCAAATGATGTCACTCCATGGGGAACACCAATTTGAAAAATCACTGAATGCCCAAAACTCTCAAATGATTGGTTCAATCTGAGACCTACAGTCAGTAATCTACTCCAAAATGAGTGACAATGCAGTTTTATGTCGAATCAACTTGAAGTTCATTCACCTGTATCTGAGGTAGTGCTTCATCAATAACGCATTCAGATAGGTGACAAGAAGATGAGATCACCTGAGAGAATCTTTGCGTTGTTTGTTGCGAAGTCACTAAACGTTATTTGGGAAGAATAAATTATCTACTTAACATCATCTTGCTTACTTTACTTATTGTTCATATATACAAAAATAATCTCCCTTGTTTACCACTAATACTGATGAAGTAAGAACAGTTGTCAGTTTACAGGTGGATCTATTAACGTTCAGTGTCACTCAGATTATAAAGTTTTACAAACACTATCAACTGAAGTGTTTCACAAATAAATATTATTCTATTAAGCTAATCGAAAACACTGTTTTTGGTAAATCATACTTCAGGGAAAATGAATCTACTCATACTGTATCATGTAGGATATTTTGCACACTCATCTTTGTCTAGGAGGTTTGTAGATGTTTGTTATTGCACAAATAGCTCATAGATGTTCCCCTTCACAAAAGGAATGATTTTAGATGTAGGCTATGATTAAATAAATAGGTGAAGTTCCACCACGTCTAATAATACTGTAATCAATTTATTGTGTTAATAAGTAGTATGCTACTGAAATGTTTGTCAGTAGAATTATAATTCACTTCAAAAATGAGAGAAGAGTTTATTTGATAATGCGGATGATTTCGAAAGCCTATTGAGTGCAATGATTCTGCGTTCTAACCTGATAATGAATAAGCTTCTACTAACCATATAACTGCATTGACCATAGTACATTTCATTCGTTTTGTTTCACTACATTAAAAATTACCATTTGTGCAGACACTTTTAAAACTGTAGCAGTGAGATAGATTTGTAAGGTGAATTCATGTAGGAGATTGAGCAAAAAAACATGATCAATATAAGATTGAAATCATTCCGCCATATATAGTTGCAAATCCTTATCGATAACACTCATTATGATGATTTGAGAATTAGGGGCAGTACAATTTCCATTCGCCTATCAATAATAATAATAATAATAATAATAATAATAATAATAATAATAATACAAGTTTCAGTCAATGTTTTCACAATCACTATGAACTTTGATCATTATTCTCAGTGTACTTTGAAGCGAGTAAAGTGTACTTTTCAAGTATCATTCCTACTTATAAATGTTGGTAACGTTTTGTTATGTTCAGTATTCGTCAAAGGCTGGATATAATCGATGTTGTGTAACAGACAAGTTGAAGGTTAGTCTACTGGGTAGTTTCATTCACACATTTCAGTTATTTACATAAATCAATGATTCTAGGATATGCAATCATGAAGTTATCCAAGGAATTGTTTTACATTATAAATCATTGAAATTTTTCTCTTGTCTTCATTCGGTAGAACATTCGGTAGTTGACACTAGTTGACAATAATGTATATATAATACGTTGTATAAGTATGAGTGGATGATTTCGTGAATATTCGGTTTATTGGTGTCAAATATTCACCCCATTTGTGTAACTTGTATTTGTTTGAATTTCACAGAAGTTGGCAACACAAAATCCAGTATTCACTGTATCAACAGGATTAGAATACAATATAGATGGACTGAAGAAAGGATTCGATTTATAGTGAAAGTAATTCTCAATATTTCTTCTCCTATCTTCACTATTGTTAGGTATTCCTTATGTGTATCATTCAGATTTTTCTAACGATATTTCTACAGGCATTAGTACAATCAATGTATGTGTAGCTGCTTATTCATACACTAACCAAAATATTCCTGTTATAGAACCGCATTATATCACTTTTTTCTATTCAATGACTGGATTGATTATATATTTGGGTAGGTGATATGATTTTTGACGTAATGCTGTTGCTGTTCATGTTGTTGTTGTGAACATTATTGTTTTGTCAAGCAAGTACATGTTAATGAAGTGTACTGAGTAGCTTATCTCCTCATGAATAAGTGTGGCAATTCAGGCGTATGTTTGAAATTACATCCGGTTCCAATACTTCACTCTTCTTGAATTTAATCGACAAGCTAATCATCACACTTGTGCCCGAACCCTCGATCGGTGAAGGTTTCTGCAGATTCGAATCACTTCACGTACAGAGGTAAAAGAACCACTCTGGATGCCTTCACCGTCTCACATGAAAATACTGCCTGTTATCCTAACAGAAATTTCAACTATGTCAACATTCGATTCTCTCCCAAGGTCCTTATATCGTTTACATATACACTGTTTCTATCCAACTGATATGATAAGTAAGACACTCGGCAGAATATTCTCAAAATATCTTTCATAACATAGACTCACATCATAGATACGCATGTTTATCTAAACTTATTCGTTTCACAAAACTGATATGGTCATCGTGTTACCTGCTACAGGTAACACTTTTCATTCATTAAAACACTAATGAATTGTGTTTTCACATACACTACATGAAAAGTGTATCATTCATCTAGTGAATAGGCAACTTTACCATTTCACATCTATTCACATCTATTCATTCTCAAATCTGTTATTTCCATCATCTTCAAGTAACAAATAATTGGTTATGCAGTTCACGTTAGACGAGTCATCAATTGAAGCTGGACACTGACAACTTCTAGCATAATGTACTACATGAAACACTCCAAAATCTAAGTGAAAATATGATGTCAAGATTATTTCTTACCGAGTGGTTCATTCATTGACTGACTGTCTTTGTTTCATTATGCAGCTCAGTATCTTTGGCATTAACAGTTGCACTTATCATGATACGCAATCTACGGTACCTTCAACCCTACAACTACCTAATACTTATGATGATCGTAAGTTCTAATTTCTATTATATGTGTATACATACATATATATACACTGGAATACTGTGGAATCGAGCACGAAATACAAATTCAAGATTACTAATGTGGAAATATGAAGTAAATTTATTTCGTGAACACATTATGCCAGCGTTCGAACAGTTATCAGCATCCTAGTAAATAATCACATTCTAGGAAATGCTGTGCATTATGCTCCCTCCTTACTCATCCTCATCACCCTATCAACAGTCTACGATAAACAATATGCATGATGCTTTCGAATAGTCAGTGAAATGACAGACAGTTCACAGCTGAATTATTTTTACAATGGAATTGATTATCTTAACCGTTGACCAGAAATTCATTGGTGTGTCGATCGAGGCAATTAAGCCTTGATCGCTACATTGTAGTTTATCTAAATAATCTGAATCCTAAATGATGACAGATAGATATGAGGTTTAGATACACGATAAAGTTCATATGAAGGTGTTTCACGACTCAGGCTTTTGTGAAGTTTTCAACATGGTTTTATGCATGAAGAGGGAACCAGTAACATTAGTTACACATTGAAGATGGAGTTGTGGTCTTGCATTTCAAGCGTCTTTTACTGTTTTTCCTCGAAAAGAGCTATACAACTCAGTTATCAATTATATAACTTATCAGTAGGTGGTGAATCCCATCACAATTGCCTTCATCAGTCCAGTGTCTCCTTGAAATATTCTGTTTATTCAACATTGAAGGAATAAATGTTACATCTGTGAAGAGTAATGATGTTGAATTTACACGATCATACACTGAATGTGAACACCATTTGTTAGCAAAACACCCTAGTTTCAATATCAAAACACAATGGATAATTGGTTTTTACGAAAACAAGTTGAGTAATGAGGGTAACAACAAGATTTTTGGCTGAAAGACTAGTCTGTTGCAAGTTTCACGTTTCGTCCACTGCATAGTTAGACAGTCAGCAATATAAATGCCTGACTCAATATCGATTTTCATACGCTAAATAAACAGAATCACATAACATACATACATGCATACACGTGCTCATGTATACAACTTTCTGATTCTGGTTTGCTCTTCAAGACGCTCAACATCAGTGGAGTAATAATCTGCATGTCAGTGTCAGTTAGACAAATGTGGGTGTTTGTAAGTTGGATGGCAGCAATCATTACTTCAATCTTCACCTTCTTGATTGGAGTTAAACTGAGACCGGATGTCACCAAGATCTACAAATTATTACTCATTTACATATCGATTGTCACTAGTGTTGCTGGTATAGAAGTTCTCATATTATACATCTTGGGGCATCTACAGGTAAGCAGCTTATGTGTGTGTAAATTATTTGAAATGAGAAAAGGGGTGAATTGATAGTAAATAGGTGAAATGGTAACCATGCATCATACCTTTTCAACATCTTAATATGTTATACAGATTAAATGGGGACATTCCTACAAATACAATTAGACTGAGCAATCACGCAACACTACCCACCAGGTGATTGTAGGTGCAACACTTTTATCCACAAAAATTTAATTGAAGTTATGTTCAATGTTCGCGATTGCACTTTATCTTAGGTAATTATTATTATTATTGTTCTTATTATTATTTGTCCATTGGGTTCCTAGTAGAATATAGGGCTTCAGTAACATGTCTGCATTTCACTCTGTTCTCTACAGTTTCTTTAACCTGGCTCCAACACTGCCCACGAGCTTTCATTTCTTCCCCATTTGATCTCCTCCATGGTACACTCGGGTGCCCAACTGGTGGTTTTCTATTTGAATTTTCACTTGAATGTCTTGCCTGATCTGGCGCGTGATGTCCTCAATCGATCTTCTTGTTGAGCGATTGGTTCTTGCTTTGTTGGTTCACGGACAGCCAGATTTCTTTTGTGCTTTTTCTTTCTGGCCATCTATCGGATCTTTAGTATCAAGTGAGGGTGGGCACTAGCTGTAGATGAATGTCTGTAGTTTGTTGGAAATACTTTTCGTGACGCGCCAGTTTTCTGAACCAAATGGAAGCACTGACTTGAATGAATTATCATTGAGAATCCGGATCTTGTTCACATTTTATGCTGCGTGCGGGGCAGTAGATCTCCACTCTGATTTCTGAATAATAACGAAGGGCCTGTCTTGCTGTCTTTCCGATCGTAGCTTTGAAATCCCCATCTGCGCTTCTACCGCCTGTAGTTTGGAATGATGCTGCCTTGCCTGAGAAAGTGAAAGAGATTCCTTACTCAAGGTTAATCCCGTTGATGCTGTTTGGTGTTTGTTGTTTTTATTGTTGTTGTTGTTTTTGGTTGGGTATCTTCATCACCTCCGACTTCTCTTCGTTCACCTGAGGTTCCATCTTCGCTGCCTCGCCTCTTCTGTCAACTTGTTGGTTTTTGCCTGTAGATCTTCGAGTTTGTGCTACAAGACATCAGACATAAATCATCATCGGCCAAATCCAAATCTTCTTCTGGGGTCTTTTCATTGTTCCAGTGTATCCCCATTTTCTTGCTCCTCACGGTTCTCTGTATAATCCAGTCCACCACAGTCAGTGGTGATAGAAACAGGAGCCTTATCTTACTCCTGTCTTCACTTCAGAGGCATTACTGAGTTTTCCATTCAGAATCACTTGGCACGTGTATAATCACATAGCATATAGCTGTTGTATGAGGTTGATAAAAATCTGTGGTACTCCGTAGTGTTGTAGCAGTCAGTTTCCAAATTAATTCTCGGTCGACACTGCCGAAGGCCTATTCGAAGTCGATGAAGCTGAGGTAGAGAGTTGACTGCTAATCTACACTCAGTTATGTGATGATGCGTAGCGTAGTGTTGCAATTTGATCGGCACATGATTTGTTCTTCCTGAAACCACCCAGCCTGTCCTGGTCATTATTTTGAATCCAGCGCATCTCTCCAGGATGATGCGGCTTAATGTTTTGCTTAGAGTGGACAACAGAATGATTCCGTGCCAGTTTCTGCAAAGACTTACTTTCCCCTTCTTTGAAAATTTGACAAGGTAACCCTTCTTCCACTCACTTGGCAGGTACCTTTTCTTTCCTTCTTTGCAAACCTTCTGCAGTAGTGGTGTGAGCATGTCTGATGTTGTCTCTGCGTCTATATTCAGTGCTTCTGGTGGAATTCCATCTGGTCCTGCTGCTTTCCCTCATTTCAGCAGCTTTATAGTGTTAAGGACTTCCATTTTTGTCGGAGGGCTTGTGTTCACTGGTAATTCTGTGGATGGGCTACTCGTGGTATTTCTGGACCAGTTGCAGATGAGGGTGGTATTGGCAGATTCAAGGGTTTTTGCAGTGGTCAGCCCATCCTTTTTTTTGTTCCTTCTCTTTGCTAACTAGGTTTCCTTTACTATCTTTCATTGATTTTATCAGCGATGATCTCTTCCCAGATAGTTGTTTGATATGGTGTTGTCAAGTCTCTGTTTCTCCTACCTGCAGCCTGTTCTGCTTCACTTGCCAATGTGTCTTTGCACACACTCTTCTCCACTTCTTCATCTAGTGAAGTGTTTTACAGGTGGTGTTCAGTTCCTCTTTTGGTTGTGCATCCTTGCACTGTACCGGTTTATCTTCTGCTTCACCATTTTCCCCTGCCTTCACTAACAGTTCCCAAGCGTCCGTCAAGATCGATTCCTTGTATTCTTTCTTCTTCCTTCTTAATACAGTTATGTAGGCTTCTTTCCACATAGCTTTCAAAGAGTTCCATTGCTCTTGTATGCAGATTTCATCAGGAATGTTGTTCACTATCTCCCATTTTGACCTGATGGCTGACTGACTGGCGTGAAGATATCCTTTGTAGTTTCGTCCTTCAGTTCACTTTCTGTTCTGGGTGTTCAACTTCAACTGTGGTCTATCACCAACTTTCGTGAAGGCCTTCATCTTGAATTTGAAGGCAGGTTTCTTGCACAAGACAGTAAGTGGTGTGAATCTACATCCGCTACCCTTCTTGATCTTGTGTCCAGTAGGCTGCGTCTTGACTTCCTTCACATTGAAATATTGTCCACCTGGATTTCAGTGTGTCCATCTGATGAAATCCATGTCACCTTGTGAACATCCTTGCGCCTGTACACACTGCCTTGTCTCCAGTCAGCAAATCAATACATGACCACAAGTCTGCAAACAGATGTACATCCTCGTTCACTTCACCGAACTCTTCTCGACCCATGATTGGTTCTCATCCTATTTTGTCCGCTCCCAGTTTGGCATCCATGTCACCTGTTAGAATTTCGATATCGCTATGTACGTTGGGGTCTTGTCTATTACCGATCGCAGTTATCTTCAGAATTTCTCCTTCTTCTCTTGGTCTGTATTATCTGTAGGTGCGTAGTGTAGCATTGTATGATTGTTAATTTCCTTCCTTTTGAGTTGAATCTTGTTATCATGATCCTGATACAAAAGGAGATTTGTTCCCAGTGCATGCGAACCTTCGGAGGTCTTGCAGACATCATGATGGCCCCTCCAAAACGCAGTATGCTGGTGGTTGTTGTGTGGGTGTCAATCCTGGAGTAGATTATTGACTATCCAGTTTACAGTTGAGAGAGTACACTTTCATTCCATCTGCACTTGCAGATTCCAAGCACTTCTATGTTATATCTTCTCATCTCTTTGGCAATCTGGTCAGCCTTGACAGCCAGTTTCAAACATTGTTCAGGCATTCCAAGTCCCCAATCTTGCTTACGCTTTCATCGAGAGAAGAGTAGACATACCGACCGATAGGCTTTCCGAAGGCTTCCACCAAATGGCGTAACTTCGCCTCACCGATTCCGGTGAGGAATAAGTTTAGTTACATTGTTCATGTTCAAAGCTCATGATTACTCTTCATCCCAAATATACATTAGGACACTATATTTGTGTAAGATAGAGAATAGGATGTTCTGACAGTGAGCATGCTGAGATTGTAAGGCCAGCATAAACAAGTACCTATTAGCCTTTTTATTTTATGAAGAAACTGATCATCTGCATATTTCATGTCAATTCTTCACTGAGTAATCCAATGAAACTGACAACCGGTAACTTCACAACGGTGCACATGGTTTCATATCAACAAAGTGTTATTGCTATCAGTGCTCATTACATTCCTGTGAGTTCAATCCATCAGTTTCCTATCAAATATTTATATCAGGTAAAACGAAAATTCGCTTTTGTTTTCCGAGGATTCTAGTTACAATATATCTGACTATTTACACATAAACTGTGAAACGTCACTACGGTATTGACTGACAAGTTAACTGACATTTCCATCCTGTTATACTTAAAAACAACAACAATTGATAAAACAGAATGAGATATGAATGTTGTTTCTCGTATCATTTCATCGTTGATTGGACCGAGTTGGTCAATCTCTACTGGAATACGTGATAGTAGGTGGATGCCTCGACTGCCGGTAATTTATTCTAATTATAATAATGTATAGTGGCTAGCAGTGGATTCGGGGAAGCACACCTCGTCATATTCTGGAATCGTGAGCTGGATGAATCCACCTCCAGTAATTGTTGTTCCCACTGAGATTCGAACTACACACCGACAGTTTGCAAATGCCAGAGCATCGAGCAACCGTAACGACGTTTCGCGCAATGAGTACATTCTCGATGTTGTTGTTTGTATAGAAAATATTACATCAAGCTGACTGAATTCCACCACTGTCTACCTTTGAAAAAAGAAGATATTGTCACGTCAAAAGTTTCATCAGTCAATAAAATAATTTGCATTCAATTGTTCTTTGTTGTCTACAGGCTGCTCAAAATATAATTGGCATTTCTACTCAATTCGTTGTATTCGCGGTAAGTTCCTCATCATTACAGCTTTGATTATCTAACACAAGCAGCAGTTTCCAATAGCTTAGCCTACCTAGATTTTAAAATCCCAGAAGGATTTAAATGTGTACACCCAACGATCAACAACACGAATGTTCATAAACTATAAAACAACTGATGTGTATTCAGCTACATGTAGCGAATGCTATTCACCAGCACAATGCATCAAAATCTCATCTCTGAACACGTGATTCCTCATTCTCTTCACTTTGCGAACATCAGCTTGAGTCTGGTAATCTGTTGGGCTGCCTCAATTTATGACAGCAAACGTTCTACTCATTCGCATAACACCGAATGGATGTCTCGCTGTCAATTTCCTCATATTCATTTCATGATGCAAAAGCATACAAGTAGTGGAGTGATATTATTCACGGTAGTCTGTTAGCATGCTTTGATTGTCAACAATGAATGAAACTGTGTGGATGTGATACAACATTCCTCAACACATAAAACTTTGTGCTATCACCATATGACAATGAAATATTGTGTGAATCCCTTCATGCAATTACTCTGCTCTCCACCTGATTATATTAATATTTCAAGACACTTTCCCATCTCCATGCAAATCTCAACACAGATGACTAGGCAAACTTCTCACTCAGATATATGAATATAAGAAATCATAAGATGCTTTCTAATAATATCCAGTTCCTCAGACAAACATTTGACACCAAATATCACTGTGATATCAACTCACTCATTCACACTCCCCATTGTCTTGTAATGTCAACAGATAATTATTTGATGATTGACAGAGAATACAGTGTGTTCATGTTGATCACACAGCACAGTGTGAGTGACTTTGTTGAAAGTGAAATCTCACACACACCCAACCACATCCCTCCCTCTATACTAATCACACGTCTCAGTGACCACATGACTGAAGTACTACTTGATGAAATTTGTCACTAGCTGGAACATGTCACACTTCATTACTACCCTCCCATGTTCACTCTCACTCTACATTATGTGCTGATACATGTGACACGTTGAAACAGATGGATTGAATATGAAACACACTTTAGAGAATACATGGTGAAATCAAGTTATTTCACTTGAGGCAATTTAGTCAAGCATACAGACACCAAATAAGTGTGCAATAAGTGTGTGGTCATCATTTCATTGTCTGCATGACAACACACCTTTCACAGTTAGATTCATCGGTAGTGAGTGAACCGATGCTTAGGAGTGGAAAGCGTAATGACTTCAAATAGACTGATTCGATGCATCAGAGAATTCCACTACCGATTCATTTGTGAATGGAAATGTGGGCAATGTCACAGTATATACTGGTATGTGAAATGATGCAGAATACTTGTAGCTCAGGTGGATGATATTCGTGGTATTGACTTCCCTCAGTTGGGTGGTCCGATCGTGAATCTTACATTGTCTTTGCAGACAGCAGTATCTCTACTACCCTCCATATCCAACAAGTCATCAGCGATTCTCCGTGAGTGGTTAAATAGCTTGCACTGATGAAGTCGTATGTAACTGATTGTTTCTATTGGTTGTATGTCTCTCTACCTGATTTCTGACACTAGGGTTTTCATGTATTTACTTTCCTCCTCTGAACACTATGTGGACTGTTCTGCTCTGGATGATATATGACAAGACGTGCACTAGAATGCTCCTTGATCGAAAAAAGAGGAATACATGGTCAGGTATAGGATAAGTCTTTTTACTATCACTTCTCATCTCACCTCCTGCATCAGTGCGAGTGTCGACTAACAACTGCAATTTTGCAAGAATGATGCTCTTATGATCCCACGTCTACTCATACTGACTGAGAGCATGTGTTTCTGAGATCGATTAAAATAATTACCACTGAAGCCTCCTTATATTTTAGTTAGCTGTTATAATCACTGAAATGTCATACACTTGACGTTTACTCTACTTCAACAATTTCATCTAAATTTTCACGTATATCGGCCACAAAATTCTACACGTTGAACCATACTCGAAAACTCACTTCGCATGACTTCGATGCGAAAATTATCCATTGAAGGATTTGTCACAAGTATGAAGACACACACTGAGAGATAGAGATAGGAGAGAGAGTAAACTGTTAAATAATCCGTCTTCCATTAAATGAAATGCAACAACAATTGAGGTTTCAGGATGTATATGTGTGTTTTGTGAGGTGATTTTGTTATCTCAACACACGTTTCACATGGAATTTAGAAAGCCAGATTCCCCGATGCTTCACAATGTTATTCATAGGAAGCAGTCACTTTGCTCATTCATGTCATCTTCACAAGTCTACACTTTGAAATCTGCTTCTCATCTGACCTGCCGACTACAGCTTCATGTAGTTGTGATAATGTAATGTTGAAGGGAGTTTCTTCACATGTTACACACCAATCATTTGGTCCAATTATACACTTCAACTAAATTTATGCAAATGAATTCACAACACATTTATTTCGGTACTATATGTCACGCCACATGCATCTCATCGCTCCACATCACATCATTTCCAAATTTCGCTTCAAGCTGATCATTCATGTCAGCTGAAGTACCTCACATATTCTTCTCCTCAATATCTAATGAGTAATACACAACAGACATATCATCTCCAACTCGTGAGATGATTATTTTAGTTACTGTTTCAATCACCACTTTCACCCATCCTCTCTCTGAACAACTAAAATATTCACATAGTCGAGGGGAGTAAGTAATACGATTCTTATTTCACATTGACTGAAATGGTGAGTTGGACACTCTTCTCACTGAAAGAAT